TCGAGAGCGAGTCAGTCTCTGCCGTGCGATCTTGCAGATGCGCTCCAGTGGCAGCCGCATTTGCCGGCCGCGGCTCTGAGGCGCGCGGTGTCCTATAAAGGGGACATGCTGCGCCTGGACATGTTCCTATACAAGGTATAAGCATGGTTGTAAGTGTACAAAGTGTGAGCATAGAGAGTGCCCGCATAGCATTTACCCCCGCATTCTCCCTCCCTCATTCACCCTCGTCCTCTCCCAAACAACCCCCTCACCAACCCTCCCCCCTTCTTCGGCTGGTGGTGCAGCGTCTGCAGTGGCAACGGCGGTGGTGGGCGGTCCAGTGGCCTTCCCTTTCCATTGCTTTACCCTTCCATTTCCCCCATCCGTCCTCCGCACCCTTCCCCGCCTTCCCCCCTTCCAGCTGGAGGTGCAGCGTCTGCCAGTGACAGAGGCAGTGGTGGGCGAGCCAGTGACCTTCCCCATTCAACCCCCATCCTCCTCCCTTTTCTCCCATCCCCCCTCCCCTTCCTTTCATCCTCCCTCTGCACCTCGACTCCTCCCCTTCCCCAGCTGGTGGTGCAGCGGCTGCCAGTGACAGTGGCGGTGGTGGTCGAGCCAGTGACCTTCCTCTCTCCTCATTTACTCATCCCTCCTTGTCCCACATGTATCCCCCTCTCCCTCCCCCTCTCCCCCACAGCTGGTGGTGCAGCGGCTGCCAGTGACAGTGGCGGTGGTGGTCGAGCCAGTGACCTTCCTCTCTCCTCATTTACTCATCCCTCCTTGTCCCACATGTATCCCCCTCTCCCTCCCCCTCTCCCCCACAGCTGGTGGTGCAGCGGCTGCCAGTGACAGTGGCGGTGGTGGGCGGCCCAGTGACCTTCCTCTCTGCGGGGCACAGGGGCCCTCAGCCGGTGCTGTTCAACCAGGGGCTGTGTGGGACGAGTGGGGAGCGGAGGTGAGAGGAAGGAGAGGTAGGGGGCGTAGGGGGATTAGGGGGATTACGGGTAATGGGGGGAGCAGCAAGGGGGTCAGGAATTATGAAACCAGTGACCTTCCTCTCTGCGGGGCACAGGGGCCCTCAACCGGGGCTGTTCAACCAGGGGCTATACGGGACGACGGGGGAGCGGAGGTGAGAGGGGGAGGGGAATCAGGGAGAGTAGTGGGAGCAGGGAAGCTGGGAGGTAGGTATCACGGTGCCAGTGACGTTCCTCTCTGCGGGGCACAGGGGGCCTCAGCCAGTGATGTTCAACCAGGGGCTGTACGGGACGACGGGGGAGAGGAGGTGAGGAGTAGGGAAGTGGGGGGAGGAGAGGAGAGAGGAGGTGAGGGGGAGAGATGCTGAGTTGGTGAGGAGGAGGGGAGCTTGTATGAATGAATCAGACACACAACAGGGCGCAGGGGGCGCACTTACTTCCCCCTCCTCTGCCCCCACTTCCCCCCTTTTCCCTCCTGTTCGCCCATTCCCCCTGCTTGTTTTCCCCTTCCCCTCCAACCCACCTCCTTTTCCCCTCCTCACCACAACCTCTCCCCTGCAGCAGGTTGGCTCGCCTCTGCTCTCGACACTCTCATCCGCTCCTTCCCTTCTGAAGCATTCCCCACACCACCCCTCCCCTTTTCCCCCATTTCCCACCCCGCTAACCCCCCTTACCCAGTCCTCCCCTCCACAGCCAATCGCAAGCAGTAGGCAAATTTTCCACGGCTCTGGAGAATCTCATACGCGCCTTCCCTCCCCACCCGCCACCACCGCCACGTCAATGTGTCGTGTGCCATGGTAACGAGGTGACTTTTGAGTCGACTCAAAAGTCACCTCGCAAGCAGTAGGCAAATTTTCCACGGCTCTGGAGAATCTCATACGCGCCTTCCCTCCCCACCCGCCACCACCGCCACGTCAATGTGTCGTGTGCCATGGTAACGAGGTGACTTTTGAGTCGACTCAAAAGTCACCTCGCAAGCAGTAGGCAAATTTTCCACGGCTCTGGAGAATCTCATACGCGCCTTCCCTCCCCACCCGCCACCACCGCCACGTCAATGTGTCGTGTGCCATGGTAACGAGGTGACTTTTGAGTCGACTCAAAAGTCACCTCGCAAGCAGTAGGCAAATTTTCCACGGCTCTGGAGAATCTCATACGCGCCTTCCCTCCCTCCCCGCCACCACCGCCACGTCAAGCCATTCCGGCCCCCTCTGCCCCTCCACTTGCCCTTCCCCCCCCCATGACTCCCCCCTCTCTACAGCCACTCTCCACCACAGGGCTGGCTTTCCATGGCTCTGGACAATCTCATCTGTGCCTTCCCGTTCCCGCCACGCCACCTCAAGCAGACTACACCCTCTGCCCCTCCCCTTCCCCCCCCCATGACTCCCCCCTCCCCACAGCCACTCTCCATCACAGGGCTGGCTTTCCATGGCTCTGGACAATCTCATCCGTGCCTTCCCCCCACGCCACCTCAAGCAGTGGCGCGCGCCCGGCCAATCAAAGAGTGCTGTGGTGGCGGAGCCCTATTGGCTCATCAACCTGGGCCTGCCTCGTGGCAGCCTCGCCACGTGGGCGTCCTGTGATGGGTGAGTCAGCATTGAATTTCTGGGCCGTTGATTGTTGGGACTGTGTGTGTGTGTGTGTGTGTGTGTGTGTGTGTGTGTGTGTGTGTGTTTGTGTGTGTATGTGTGTGTGTGTGTGTGTGTATGTGCATGTGTGCGCAGTAAGAAACCTCCGTCCCATCACAGGAAGAAACCTCCTTCCCCCTCCCCCATCTGCCTCCTCAACCCCTGAACTCCTCCAATCTGTTTTTCCCTCCCCCGTCCGCCTTTTCCCTCCCCACTTCGCCTCCAACCCCTAATCTCCCCCAATTTCCTTTTGAGTCGACTCAAAAGCGCCTCCAACCCCTAATCTCCCCCAATCTCCTTTTGAGTCGACTCAAAAGCGCCTCCAACCCCTAATCTCCCCCAATCTCTTTCCACAGAGCCACCTTTCTGCAGTCCCTGCCTGATGACGTGGATCTGGTCATCGCTGAGCTGGCGTTATCTGACCAGGGCGAGGCCAAGGGGCAGGGCGCGGGCTCCTTCCTGCAGATGTACGACTCTGTGCTGCAGCAGTTGCTGCTGCGCTGGGGGGGTGGGGCGCCTCAAAACCCTCCTCAGACGCGGCAGTGGCAGAAAGGGAGAGAAGGAGGGCTGGAGGGAGTGAAGGCGGCAGCGGGGGCAGCGGTGGTTATGGTGAATTTCTTCTCCTTCTGCCGTGGCAACCAGGCATGCAGACAGCAAGAGGTACGTACACGCACAGTCTGAGATTCTCGCTCAGAGGTTTGTGGGGGTTGGGTTTTTGATATTTGTGGGGTGGGAGCAAGAGGAAGGGTTGGGGGGTGGCAGTATCGTACTTTATCCCCTCTGTCCCCCCGCTTGGCGCCAAACCCAGTGTCATAGGACAATATAACACGGTTTCCCACTCTTTTTAGGTGCCGCAATATTCTGTCTACTTCTTTGTTGGTGCCCTCAGAAGTTGCCTTTTGAGGCGCCTTTTGAGTCGACTCAAAAGTTACTTCTTTGTTGGTGCCCTCAGAAGTTGCCGTTTTTTACCACCCACTGAGCGCGAGAGGCTGTGTCACAGAACAAAATAACACAGTGCTCTGACATAGGCCTCCCAGTGCTCTCCACCCAAAACATTTTCCTCACCCTATCCATTCTGCCGTCTCTGCGCAGCCTCCCCTCATGCGCGGGCAATGGGGGAGGCACTCCACCCTCTCCTCATTCGGAAACCCTCTGTCTCCTCCGATGTGGGCCCATTCTCTTTCGGCCTTCCGCCCCACCACCCCGCCTACCCCCACCGGGTGGCAGGAACTGGTTCAGAGGACATTGTGACTCGGCCTTCCCACGTGTCCCCCTCCCTATTTTCCTGTATCTCCCCTTCACAATTTCCCCACCGTGCAGGACCCCTCTCTCTCCTTTGCTGACGTGGGTCCGTTCTCCTTCGGCCTGCCTCCCCACCACCCCGCCTACCCCCACCGGGCGCCAGAGGTGGTGTCAGAGGACAATATAACGGTGCTCGCTCAGTACTATAGCCTCCCTGTGCTCTCCACAAGGGACGCCTTCTTTACCCTCCTGGGTCACCAGGTCAGTGGTCTGGTCCCTCCTCTACTCGACCACCCCACCAACCAACCACCTACCAATACCCCACAGTGCTTGCTCATTACTATTCCCTCCAGGGCTACCCACCCAAGATGCCTTGTGCACGCTCTAACGAATTTCTTTAAACCTGTGCCCTCTCTGTCCCCTGTCCCCTGTGCCCCCTGCATCCCACGCTCCAGGCACCGGGTTATCGGTTGAAAGACGTGGTCACCACAGGCCCCTCCAGCCTTCCACTGCACGTGGAGCCTGACACCCTTGCCTCCGCCATTCCTCCTGCTGCTGCTGTAGCTGACGGTGCTGGCGATTTCGATGGCACTCTCCCCGTTGACTCCATTGACTCCATTGACCCGCATGCCTTGTCTGGAGTCTTACCCACGGCACTGCAAGCGAAGACCAAGTACGCGGACGTCATCACTGCTCTCTTCCACTCCGCACTCAAAGGCAAGTCGGCCTGCTCTCAGCATCTTTCAATCATGGCTTTTGAGTAGGACTTAAAACCGGGGTGCACATTCAGCTGAATGTGCATCAAAGGTTATCCCTTGACTGAGTGGGTTACGAGGTGTGCTTTCAACCCCTTCAAGTCGAAATTCGTTTCCCCCCTCCCCCGCAATTTCGTTTCCCCACGCCCCCGCAATTTCATTTCCCCCTCCCCGTCGAAATTCGTTTCCCCCCTCCCCCGCAATTTTGTTTCCCCCCTCCCCCGCAATTTCGTTTCCCCCCCCTCCCGCCAATCTGTTTCATCCCTCCCGCCATTCGGTTTCACCCACTCCCGCCATTTCACCCCCTCCCGCCACCTACGAAATGCCCGAAGCTCTAGCGGAATCATTTTTTTGTCGCCCCTCGTGAGCCAATCACTGTTTTTCTCCAAACCCCCTTCCCAACATCTCAAGCCGAACCGCGTTGAATGTGCACCCTGGTTTTAAAAGTCACCAAATTCACAGACGAGTCAACGCGCCTCGTGGAAGGTTGAAGAAATCCACTTTGTTTTCTTCGTCACGGGGATGTAGCTCAGATGGTAGAGCGCTCGCTTAGCATGCGAGAGGTATGGGGATCGATACCCCACTTCTCCAGAAGTCTGACTGGTGACAGAATGCTTTTGGTTCTCTCACCTCACCCAGTCCCCTTCAGTCCCCTTCAGTCCCCTTCAGTCCCCTTCAGTCCCCTTCAGTCCCCTTCAGTCCCCTCCACACCCCACAGGCCTGATTGACCGGCTGACAAAAATCCACCCTGCTGCGCCCTCCTGCCCTCCCTGCTGCGCCCTCCTGCCCTCCCTGCTGCGCCCCCCGCCACCCTTCGTCTCCTGCTGGATCCACTCCACTGCCGCCTCCGGCTTCCACCCCCTCTTCCATTGATCTCCCCGATTATCTCCCCTTCACACGCACAGGTCTCATCGACTGGCTTACAGAGATCCATGAGGACAATGCCACTCTCTCCTCCTCCTGTCTCCCACCGCCCTTCTTCTCCCGCTGGATCCACTCCACTGCTGCTTCCGCCTTACAACCTCCGGCCTCTCTCAATAACCTCCGGCCTCTCTCAATAACCTCCGGCCTCTCTCAATAACCTCCGGCCTCTCTCAATAACCTCCGGCCTCTCTCAATAACCTCCGGCCTCTCTCAATAACCTCCCCAATCACCTCTCCTCTACCATTGACCTCCCTTCTCAACCACAGGTCTAATTGACCGGCTAGAAGAGATCAACGCAGACAACGACACGCACTCCCTCCTGCCCTTTCTGCTGCGCCCCCCACCGCCCTTCTTCACCCGCTGGATCCACTCCACTGCCGCCTCTGCCTTCCTCCGCCCCGCCCTCCCCCATGCCTGCTTCTCCTTCCGTCCCGGTGCCGTCGCCCCGCCTGTGCTGGGCCTCCAAGGCTTCATCCTGCAGAGCATAGGGCCGGAGCATGGGACGGAGGGAAGGGGTCGACCAGGACTGGTGGCTCTGGACGATGGTGAGTGGTGCAGGGCGGTGGTGAGTGGCAAGGAGGCGAGGGTTTCAGAGTGGAAGGGGTTGCTTGCGCGTTGAAAGGAACTTGCGGCTCCACTGCACTCTCTGAATCGCTTTAAGCTGACTCGCTTCATGTCGAATTCCGTTCGTGAAAAACAGTCACCAGTCGTTCTACTTCCTCTTTCCTCCCCGTGGCAGATTCATGGGTGGAGTTTGTAATCAACACAGCCATCCCCCTTACAACAAGTTCCGGTACAAGCAACTCGCAGCCCATCCAGCTCACGACAATCCCGACCGTCGTTGAAATTTCCTACCTCGCGCATGCAAATGGGTCGTCTATATTCGGCAAGCTACAGTGCGTGGAGGGTTGCAAGTGTACCGGCGTGGTGGTAACCGCACTCAGCGCATCACCCGTCCCTGTGAAAGAGTCGCGGTTACTGCTGGTGTCTCGGAGCAATGCGTGTGTGACGAGGGTGCAGGGCAGCAGGGGGTTTCATGTGTTGGGGGTTACTGTGCATTCTGTGATGCAGCAGCAGCAGGACCAGCAAACCCATGCCATGCGCCAAACCATGTAACACCACCCTTGCATACAGTAATATAATTCAAGACTTGTCAGGGGAGTCCCGGTTACTGCTGGTGTCACGGAGCAATGCGTGTGTGATGAGGGTGCAGGGCAGCAGGGGAATCCATGTGCTGGGTATCACTGTGCACTCTGCAATGCAGCAGCAACAGGACCAACAAACCCATGCCATGCGCCAAACCATGTAACACTCTTGTGTACAATCATTCTCCCTCCATAAATTTTTATTTGTTTATTTATTTATTTTAATGGGGGCATCTACTTTTGGGACACCTCATAAGTTCTCTCCAGTAATGGTGTCTATCCAATCAATGTGAAGATGACAGTAGTGCATTAGTACAGCAATCATACTGTACATGTGTGCAGCACATCCTTCTTGGTTACTGGCCCATGAATGCTGAGTCTAATTTTGAGTCGACTCAAAAAATGATATCGCTCTGAAGTTATAGAGGTTGAGCACACTGTGAAATCAGTGTGCCAATGAATGATGCATACCTTGTAGCCCTCTCATTTCCCCCCCCTTGTCGGCAGGTGCGAAACAAGTTAGGGCTCTGAAGGTGTGCTAACAGTTGCCACCAGTCACCACCAGTCGCCACCAGTCAATTAATTTGATGCAGCAGTCGTTTCTGCCTTCCCACCTAAACCCTTGCTGCGAGCTCTACCGTTCGTAGCTGCATCTTCTGCCACCGCTGGCGACGCTTGTGTTGGTGGTGGTGGTGCTACTGCTGCTGCTGGCGCTGCTGCTGCTACTGGTGCTGGTGATGCTGCTGTTCCTGCTGCTGCTGTTCCAGCAGGTTCCGCTGCTGCTGCCCCTGCTGTCCCAGCAGAACCAGACTCAGGCACGTCTCCTTTTCGTGGGTGGGAAGCATGCGGTGTGAGGAGCAGATTCACCTCCCCAGCGGGTCGCAGGGTGATCATAGCGCGGGGCACGGGAGGGGGAGAGCCCGCGGGGAGAGAGAGCGAGAAGGACTGGAGGATGCGGGCGAGGACGAGGGAGGCTTCGAGCAGCGCAAAGCCCATGCCAATGCAGTTCCTGGGACCCCCTCCGAACGGCCAGTAGGCGGGGTTGTCAGCTGGGGGAAGAGCGTCTCCCCCAGGTAGCCAGCGCGATGGGTCAAAGGTGAGAGCTCTGGGGGGAGGGAGGGGAGGGGGAACGAAAGGGGGGAAAGACGAGAGGAGTAAGGGGCAGGGGAGGGGGAGTGAGAAGGGAGGACTGGAGAATGTGGGCGGGCACAAGGGAGGCTTCGAGCAACGCGAAGCCCATGCCAATGCAGTTCCTGGGATCCCATCCGAACGGCCAGTAGGCGGGGTTGCCGGCTGGGGGAGGGGCGTCCCCTTGCCCATGGGTAGCGAAATGATTCAAAGGCGAGGGCTCTGGGGGGAGGGGAAGGAAAAAGATAGGGGGGAAAGGGGGAGGAAAGGGGAAGGGTGGGAAGGGGGGAGAAGAGAAGGATGGAGGCAGGTACGGTCTCACAAGCACTGTGATGCCTTGAGGCACACGCCACTCCCTGCCCTCCCGCGTGCACAGCAGATCAGCCCACGCCCCACCCCTCCCCGCCTCTCACCCATACCAGTGCTGAGGGTCGCGGTGGAGCAGGTATGGGCTCACGAGCACAGTGGTGCCCTGAGGCAACTTTTGAGACGTCTCAAAAGCAGGTATGGGCTCACAAGCACCGAGGTGCCCTGAGGCACACATATCCCACACCGCTCCACCTCTCACCCGGGCCAGTGCTGAGGGTCGCAGTGCAGCAGGTATGGGCTCACGAGCACAGTGGTGCCCTGAGGCACACGCCACTCCCCATCCCAGTCCTCCCAGTTCATGCGCTGTGCACGCATGTACACCAAGTGGTTCCAGCCACTCCTCCTCATCTCACCCGGGCCAGTGCCGTGGGTCGCAGTGCAGCAGGTATGGGCTCACACACACCATGGTGCCCTGAGGCACACGCCATCCCCCCCCCGCCCCTCCCCCCCTTCCCAAGAACATGTTTTTCCACAGCATTTGCTCCACGCCTCACAGCCCCTCACTGCTCCACACCGCTCCTCACTGCTCCACACCGCTCCTCACTGCCCCACACCGCTCCTCTTTGCTTCTCTCACCTGGGCCACTGTTGTGGGTCGCGGTGCAGCAGGTACGGGCTGACAAGCACCGTGGTGCCGTGGGGCACGCGCCACTCCCCTCCCTGTGCACGCACACCACATTGGCCCAACGCATCTCCCCACTCCGCCTCTCACCTGGGCCACTGTTGTGGGTCGCGGTGCAGCAGGTACGGGCTGACAAGCACCGTGGTGCCTTGGGGCACGCGCCACTCCCCCAGGCGCGTGTCTCGGCACGCACAGCGCCCCACAATGTATGCAGGCGGCATCAGCCGCAGCGTCTCCTGTATCACTGCCTCTAGGTACCTGCCAGGATAATGTGGGGAGACGGATGGGATGGCGGGGGGAGGATATAACGGTTGACATTAACCGCAGCGTCTCCTGTATCACTGCCTCTAGGTACCTGCCAGGATAATGTGGGGAGACGGATGGGATGGCGGGGGGAGGATATAACGGTTGACATTAACCGCAGCGTCTCCTGTATCACTGCCTCTAGGTACCTGTCACGATTGTGGGAGACAGATGGGTTGTGGGATGTGATGGTGGGGGGAGGGCGGTAAGGTGGGGCGAGAGCCACTCCCCCAGGCGTGTGTCTCGGCACACACAGCGCCCCACGATGTACGCCGGTGGCATCGACCGGAGCGTTTCTTGAATCACTGCCTTTAAGTACCTGCCATGATTTTGGGAGGTGGATGTGATCGTGGGGAGCAGTTTTTGAGAATTCTCAAAAACCGCTCACAAGGGCGGTAAGGTGGGTTAAGGGTGACACACCCCCAGGCGCGTGTCTCGGCACACACAGCCGGTGGCGTCAGCTCCAGTGTCTCCTGTATCACTGCCTCCAGGTACCTGTGACGATGGCAGGGGAAGGACAATGAGAGGCATCAGACTTAGTGTTGCCTGTATCACCCTCCCTTCCCTCCCCTCGCACTCGAGCTTGAGAAAGTCAGCACGAGAATAGCTCTTCCTGCTCAGCACCATCTCTTCCCCTCTCCTCCCACTCACTTGAGCTTGGGAACGTCAGCGTGAGTGGGGCTCCGCCCTCCCAGCACCTCCCGCACCTCCTCTGCTGCCCGCCTCTGCTCCTCGGGACGCAGCGCCAGCTGCACGCACACCCACGCCAGCAGGATAGCTCACTCTCCCACCCTTCCCCAGCTACTCTCCCTTCCCACCACTGCCACTCACTTGAGCTTGGGCACGTCAGCGTGAGTGGGGCTCCGCCCTCCCAGCACCTCCCGCACCTCCCCTGCTGCCCGCCTCTGCTCCTCCGGATGCAGTGCCAGCTGCACACACACCCACGCCAGCAGGATGGCCGATGTCTCCTGGCCCTGGGGAAATGGGAAGATTGAGAAACAGAGGAAGAAAAGCGGAAATGGAAAGAGAGGGGGCCGGTGCGAGAGTCAGGAGCGACGTTTTGGATACCTAGGAAAAAAAAGAGTTTTTTTTTCGGACTTGGAGAGAGATGGACGAAATGGTGAAGCAGGAAACCTTGTCGATACGAAGAGCTGCGTTTTTAGAATTCTCGGAACGCACATCTAGGATGACAGGAAACCTTTTGAAGGATATATACGGGGTGAAAAACGATGAGAAAAGTTCACCAGTTGCCAGATTAGTCTGAACTGAAATATCGACAGCAATAACGTGATCGAGCTGTACCACAAGATAAACCACCAAACCGCAGTGTAACGCATCTTACCGCAACCAGCAGAGTCATGAGCTCGTCTCTGATTGACTGGTCGTCCATTCCCGAGCCGTCTTCATCCCGAGCCTGGTGAGAGTGGGCACAAGTGAGAGCAGGAAATGAGGGTGCAGTTACTTAGTCTCTGAGTGATTAGTCGTCCATTCCCCCGAGCCGTCCTCATCCCGAGCCTGGTTAGATGGGAGGCAGGCAGGTATGTGAGTGCAAGAAAACGGGTCGACCTGCACTAATGTTTGCTCGCATAGAGGCTTTTTGTCAGCAGCAGCAGCAACAGCAGAAGCAAGGGAGGGGTGAATGGTGGTCTCACCAGCAGCAATCTTGTGAGCAGGTCCTTCCCCTCATCGCCTCCTCCCTGTGCAGTCCCCCGTGTGGCAGCCCACCCTGCCATCTCCTTCCTCCTCTCCTCTATCAGCCGATACACCACCCCGTCCAGGCGCTGCACTGCTGCTGTGTACTGGAGATTGTCGGGAGTAGGGAACCACTCGGGGAATGTACACACGCACACACACACAGAGAGAGGGGAAGCAGGAGGATATTAGGAAGAGGGCGTTGGTACACCACGACCCCGTCCAGGCGCTGCACTGCTGCCGTGTACTGGAGATTGTCGGGAGTAGGGAACCACTCGGGGACTGCACAAAAATGCACATGGGAAGGAGCGAGAGATAGGTAGTTGGTACAACAGCACCCCGTACAGGCGCTGCACTGCTGCCGTGTACTGGAGATTGTCGGGAGTAGGGAACCACTCGGGGACTGCATGTATACACGCACCCAAGAGAAGCGGTGGCATGAAGAGATGGCGGAGGGAGGGAGGGAGGGAGGGAGAGAGGGAGGGAGGGAGGGAGGGAGGGAGGGAGGGAGGGAGGGAGGGAGGGAGGGAGGGAGGGAGGGAGGGAGGGAGGTAGTGAAGGAGGGAGGGAGGGAGGGCGGAAGGGAGGGAGGGAGGGATGTGCTTAACTGATGAGCATGCTGGTGGTTCGATTGGCGAGTAACTCAAAGGGAGGAGATGGTCGAGGAGGGGGTGTGTGTTAAGTGGTGTTGGGCAAGTTGTCAGGAAGGGACTCCACTCAACTGATGAGCATGCTGGTGGCACGCTTGGCGAAGAAGTCAAAGGCCGTGGAGATGGCTGGTCCCACCTGCTCCACCGCTGCTCCCCCCAGCCCGCCCCCGCCAAACAGCGCCGCCACCACGATTTTCATGGTCAGCTCGTTGAAGTCCCCATACACGTCCCTCACCACACCACCTTGCACCGCACCATCTTGCTTCACACTGTTCTGCACCACCCCATCACTCCCTGCTCTTCCTCCTCGCCCCACTATCCTCATGGTCAGCTCGTTGAAGTCCCCATACACGTCCCTCACCGCACCACCTTGCACCACCCCATCCCTCCCTCCTCGTCCTCCTCGTCCTCCTCGTCCTACTAGGCTATCCGTCCACGTGCCTCCCACCATGTCATCAGCCAACTCCGCCATGGCCTGACGAGAGAGAGAGCGAGAGAGAGAGAGAGAGAGAGAGAGAGAGAGAGAGAGAGAGAGAGAGAGAGAGAGAGAGAGAGAGAGAGAGAGAGAGAGAGGATTAGCCTCTCCCCTTCTGCCTTTGCACTCACCCTTCTGCCCTCTCCCATGAGTACTTAAAGGCTCTCGTGGCTTCTTCATCCTTAGTATTCAGTTCATTCTGAAAAATTTTCGCTCGATCGTTCGAGAGAGCGAGAGAGAGAGAGAGAGAGAGAGGATTAGCCTCTCCCCTTCTGCCTTTGCACTCACCCTTCTGCCCTCTCCCATGAGTACTTAAAGGCTCTCGTGGCTTCTTCATCCTTAGTATTCAGTTCATTCTGAAAAATTTTCGCGCTTCGCGCCGGCGCTCGCGTGAGCGGCCTTCGGCCGCGCGCTCAGGATGACAAGGGGGAACAACAAGCAGTAGTTTAGGCATCAGACACAAGCAAGGCAAGCATCGACACCTAGCAACACGATAATGGAACGGGTCTACACGCGCAAGGGGGGAGCACCTACATGCGGTCCGCGTCTACCGCAGCGAGCATTCCGCTCGTGTTCAACCACAACTGGCGGACCACTAACACGGTGGCGCCTACAACGTCAACGGGAGTACCAGGACCTGCTACAAGCGTCCTCAGAGCCAGGGCCGAGTCAGCCAGCTGGCTGGCCGAGGCTGCTCCCGGCGAGGGCTCTACCTGCAGTGGCGTTACGAGCGCGAATAGCGCTGACGCCGCCGCATGACAATCAGCTCGCGGTTTCTGAGAGAACCTGCTCGGAGGGCTCACCGGCATGGAGTCATATGACTCCTGGAGAATCCGCTCAAGGCTCTGCAGGGACGCCGCCAGCGACCATAGGCGGGCCAGGGTCGCCGTGGGAATTCTCTTCATCGGCGGAAGCAACGCGGACGAGCGGGCACGGTGAGACGACACGGCGAGATCACGCGGAGCAGGAAGAGGACGCGGCGGTTCATACTGAGCCCACGGCAGCCCGCCACCAGCGCCTACGAAGCCCATTCCCGCAGGCAGCGGCCGATCTGAGCGCGCCGGGGATCCGAATGGATTGTGAGGCAGGAGCGCGGAGAGAGGGACGACGGGAGCAGCGCGAGGAGCTGGGGGTGACGCCGACCCCGCACGTGAGCGACGAAGCTCCTTCTCCACGTCATCAAGCCTATCCAGAAGACGGCGCTCCATTGCGGACGGCGCTGGACGCGCTTTTCCCCCGCGACCATAACCTCCCCGCCGCCCGCGACGCCCCCGACCACTTGCGTCCGAACGCACAGGCGACTGCTGGCGAGACGAGCCCAGCTGACGCTGGCGTTCAGGGGAACGGACCACGCGACGAGGAGCCATTCTCCGTATCCTAGGCCATTCTCTATGGCCTGAAACAAGGCAGGAGAGGAGGGAGGGGAACAGAACAGGCAGTCAGAGAGGTGTCGATCCACCCCATGCGGTGCGACATGTGTGCTGCCATCACCGTGCCTGCTGCCACCGCCTCCCCATGCAGCCACTCGCCGTATCCTAATCCGTTCTCTATGGCCTGAAAAAGTGGGTGAGTGAGGAAGAGAGGGAGAGGCAGTGAGACGAGCAAGTCACTACTCAGCTTTTGAGTCGACTCAAAAGTATCCTAAATCGTTCTCTATGGAATGGGAGCCTGGGTGAGTGAGGCAGAGATGGAGAGGCAGTGAGACGAGCGAGTCACCACTCAGTGCACCCCAGTTCGCGCTCAAGGGGAGAGGGAGAGATGGAGATGGTACAGGGCGGGTGTTGGCCATGAAACCCTCACCATAGCCCAGCCAATGGCATCCCATCCCAGCCCAGTTAAATGTATGCTGAACAATGCAAAAAGGAGGAGTAGACATGGATAACGTACATGGCCGAAGGTGTGGCCAAGGTTGAGAGTGGCTCTGAGGCCGCCCTCTTTCTCATCAGCCGCCACCACCGCTGCCTTGTTCTCACACGACCGCTTGATCGCAAACGCCAGTGCTGCCGGGTCCCTGCCATGTAATCACACAAGGCCGCACATGCATGGTCAGACGGCCGAAAGCCGCAGACGGGCAGACAGCTTGAAACGGGGCCACATAGGTCCAAAAGAACCCACAGGTCCCAAAAATAGACGGCCAGATGGTTCTCAGCTGAAGGGGTGAAAGCATTTTGAGCTACGAGCTCGTCTCACCCTGAAGCATGCATACTAAAATGCGAGTATGATTTAAAAGGGAAAGGGCGAATGTGATGCTGACTATTGAGGTGTCAGAAATCTCGTGTGTGGAATAAGTTTTTCACTGCTGACCCGCATATGCTTCGCAGCTCACTTAAAGAACAGAGTTTCATCATGCACCCATGGCCGGATCAAGGCCTGTAGCAAAAACTAAAGCTTGAAAAAGGACGAAGCAGCATTCAGTGAGGGACAGAAGACACAATGAGAGAATACGCATTCAGCGTGTTGGGGTGTCAGAAATCTCGTGTGTGGAATAAGTTTCTCATTGCTAACCCGCATATGCTCCGCAGCTCTCTTATAGAACAGAGTTTCATCATGCACCCATGACTGAATCAAGTCATGTAACAAAAAATTAAAGGTTGAAAAAAGGATGGAGCAGCATTCAGAGGGACTGAAGCCAGAATTAGAGAATACGCATTCAGCGTGTTGGGGTGTCAGCAATCTCGTGTGTGGAATGCAACAGTTCACCACTGCTCTGAAAAGAACAGTTCTCGTTGAACAAGTCATCATCCTCCACCCCACTTGTAGTCCACATAAACACTTCCATTTCTTCCACAACATCCCCTCCCCCTTTCCCCTTCATCCTCGCTCGGCCATGGTCAGCAAACATCCACAAGGTCCACAAAAATCACCTTACAATTCACCTGAAAATAATCCCCGCTCAACTGAAACAAGCTTTGTGAAACCCTTCAAACAACCGCGGCGCTCCATTCTCTCTCACCTCGCCAGCAGCCGGCCCAAGTTCTCCTCCTGCCACTCAAAGAACTCCGCGTCTCAGATGAAACGCCAGCCCCAAAGAGAACTCCTCCTGCTACCACCTCCCAGTGAAACGTGGCATGCTTCATTCCTCTCTCTCACCTCGCCAGTAGCCGGTCCATGTTCTCCTCCTGCTACCTCCTCCCTGTAAAACCCCTCAAGCCACGTAGATATGCATTTTCTTCTCTCACCTCGCCAGCAGCCGGTCGATGTTCTCCTCCTGCCACTCGAAGAACTTGGCGTCTCGGATGAGCCCGTACTTTATCACCTCCGCGGCAGGCCCAACTCCAGCATCTCTTCTACCTCCTCCCTGCGGAACCCCTGAAGCTACCTGGAACACTTTTCCATCCTCTCTCACCTCGCCAACAGCCGGTCCATGTTCTCCTCCTGCCACTCGAAGAACTCCGCGTCGCGAATGAGCCCGTACTTAATCACCTCCGCCAGGCCCGACGCGAGCTCCCTGGCGGGGAGCGACGCGAGCGTGTCGGTGTCGATCAGCACGCACTGCGGCTGGTAGAACGCGCCTATCATGTTCTTGCCCAATCGGTGGTTGACACCTGTCTTGCCCCCCACCGACGAGTCCACCTGGACATAAGCACAGGAGAGAAACGAGAGAAGAGAAAAGAGAAAAGAATAAACGCATGAAGACGGGTCTGGGTGGATGAGAGAGAGCGAGGAAGGGTTAAAGGCGATTAGACTACGGTAAGCAAGGGAGACGGAGGGGAGGGGAGATGGACAGAAGGGGAACGGCAGACGAACAATACGTAACGATATAGAAAGCTTCAATGAGACCACGGGGGAAGAGAGAGACGATAGGCGCTTCTTGGGCGGAGGAAGGGAGCATACCTGAGACATGACGGTGGTGGGAATCTGGATGAAATTGACGCCTCGTAGGTACGAGGCCGCGGCGAAGCCAGTCATGTCGCCGACGACGCCTCCCCCGAGAGCCACGAAGGTGCAACGCCGGTCCATGCGGGTCTCCAGGGCTCGGTCGAAGATCAGATTGAGGGTTTCCTGTGCACGGAAGAAGCATGATGCGTTTCAGACCACGTTGACACATGAGGAACAAGATTAGGATAAACGGCTTGCAGAAAACTACACTTCAAACAGATTAAAAAACGGAATGATTCTAAACGGCGCAATGCTGAAGAAAGACGAGAAAACCACAAGAGACATCCACAAACCCAGGAAACAACCTACCAGGTCTTTGAACTGCTCGCCGTCCGGCAGCACGACGCTGCGAACCTCCAATTGGGGGTTGCCATGTGTCAGCGCCAAAATAGTCCGCTCCAGGAACAGCGGTGCGATGCTTTCATTGGTCACCACCAGCACACGCCGGCCCTTGACGTGCCTGAAAACACGGAACGAGAACGTACCAAGGACGGATTATGAAGAAAACATAAATAGTATGCTATAATCATTAGTAAACGAAGGCAACAGGAGATGAGAAACTAAAGAAAAGTAACACTTCGCATTGTCGGGCATACTGGGGCGAATAAACAAACGGTTCAAGTCCACACGCGTAGAAGGAATTTCCACCGTCCATCATCTTACCTGCACAACAAATCTCCGCGGTCCAGAATTCCCGCGCCAATGTAAATCGGGTAACTCCGATCTCCCAAATCTACATCCACGACCGTCAGTCCCCGCTCTGCTGACCCACCACTCTCCCTCGCCGCATTCCCCGCCGTCACTCCCGCCGTTTCTCCCGCTAAAGGAGCTGCTGCAGCGACAACCTGCGAATCCAGGTGTCTAGCATAGACCGGCGTAGTTAATCTCAACCGCCTAACCGATCGGATAGATGATTTAGCGGCTCCAAGGCACCGGTTTGGTTGGCTTGCAAAGAACGTGCTGGAAAGGGAATCAGAAACGGGAGGAGCAGTGCTTGGTCGGTGGTGAGAGGAGGATGGGGCGAAGGGAGTTGTTGCGACACAGCCAAAGCCAACGGCTAGCTCCGAGGCGAGCATTTTGACAAAAAGGATTTCCTTGAGTTCCTCAAACGTGTGAATGGCTTCGCTGTTCCGGAGAAAACAAAGAATAAATAAAGGACTTCGCTCTTCTGCAGCGCAGGTTGATCAACCGCACTGGGGGGGGAATATCGAGGGCTGGCGGAGCAGAAGCGCCAGCTGCTTTCTGCAACGGGGCGTTTTTTCTGGCCACGTTGGCGCGAAGCTGGTGGCGGAGGTTGGCTTTGGGAAAGATAGAGTGGACCACGTGGCACGGCACGGGCTGACATGCTTTTGTCACCCCAAACGTCGAGTTTGCATTCAGGTGTAGCGAAGCTTAAACAGGTGCGTTTTGAAAATCGTAACCGGAAACTGGAATCACCCTGAAACGCGTATACGTTGAGGCTTTGACCAGTTTCTTTCTTTTGTCGCCTTGATTCCAGCATTCAAAGTGGATTTGATCAACTGCTCCATAGCCAGTTGGTCTAGATTCTGGCCGCATCATTTAGTTGATCCGCATGCAGCGCGCTAATCATGCATGATCGAGGAGAGCGCATCACGGACCATGTTCGGCGTAGCCATGCAGCGCGATGGAAGGCTCTCACATGAGTTAGATAAAAAGGCCGCTGACTAAAAGTGTCGGCCCACCCAGGAAAGCTCACAGCGTACTGCATTCAGGCGATCTGCTCCGCTTCTCCTGCACCGACGCAAGCAGGCTACGGGACTTAGGCCGTCCGTTAACGAGATGTCGAACCGATGCTTGTTAGAACAGTAAGAGCCGATAGAGCACTATCAGTGGGATGATTTAAAAGGTCAGCACCGCTGCTGCTCGACGCGACGAAACGGGAGACGAGGAGCCCGAGAGGCGACACGCTAGAGGCGATACGAGAGACGCGCGGGGTGAGAATCAAGAGGTGATAGGCGAGGCGCGAGGCCCGAGGGCCATGGGGGTGCCTCTACTACTCGATGTGCTCCGCAAGCCAGCAACCACGCTCGTCGTCGCGCTCTGCTCCTTCATCTGGTTCCAGATCCAGAAACGCGCTATAAGATACCCCGACGTGGGGATAAGCTACGACGCGGTCGTCTCGCACCGCCAGTTCTGGCGGCTCGCGTCCGCGCCGCTCTCGCACATCTCTCTCCTGCACCTCCTCTTCAACGTCTCCGCGCTCTGGAGCATGGGCGGGATCGAAACCCTAACCTCCCCTGACATCAGCAAGGTTGCCGTTATGGCCACTGGTGGTGCTGCTGGCAATGCGACGTCCAGCCAATGGCAGTCCGCCGTCTCTTCTGTGCCGCTAGCTCCTTCCTCTCCCTCCTCTCTCCCTTCCTCTTCCTTCCCATCCTCCTCCCAGCCTTCCTCCTCTCTGGCTCAAAGCATTCCGCACTCTTCCATTTCTGGCAGCCTTACTGGTCCGAGCAACTCCAGCACAGAACCCTCTGAGCCTGTAGAATCGACTGCTACTGCTGCCGTGGCGAGAAGAGGATTGGGAGAAAATGCCAACGCAGGTCCGATTCAGGGGCAGAAGCAGCAGAATTCAGCGGACGAGAGTGATTGGAAGCAGCAGCAGCAACAGCAGGGTGACAAAGCAGGGTTGCCGACAAACGAGCAGCATTTGGCGGCGGCAGGATGGGAGCCAGGAGGGTCCATCGGGTACCTAAGAGACTCTTTTCTCATGCTGGTGCTGTCAGGGCTGCTGGGTCTAGCCATGTACCACGTGCTCATCCACAGGTGGCGCCTGGAGTATTTCCGGAGAGTGACAGCAGTGGGGTACTCGTGTGTGGTGTTTGGGTGGATGACGGTGCTCTCTGTGCGCCGCCCCACCATCACGCTCTCGGTGTTTGGCCTCATCAAGCTGCCCGTGTCGCTCGCCCCGTTTGAATCTCTCATCTTCACGTCCTTCATCGTGCCGAAGGTGTGAATATCTTCCGTCCATCTGACGTTCTCTTGCTTCCCCACATAGTCCTCCTCGCCTCGTTCCACCTGGTTGTCTCCCCTTTGCACCGTTCCTGAGAACAAGCGTAGTCGTCAGTATTTTTCTCTCTCACATTCTTGTCCATCTGTGAATGGCTGGCAAGCTTCGTGGGTCATCTTGCAGGCATCATTGCTGGCTATCTTCTTGCCTGGGGAGCCCTGAAGGTCCGTACACTGTACACTGTCTGCACTGTTGTTTCATTTCTTCCTTTTAAAGTCAGTACAACCTTGTGGCAGTTGCTGATTACCACCTCTCTGCTTTTGTTTCCATATCTGCAGGGATTTGATACGTATTGGACACTTGTTTTGGCATCGTGGTTTGCAATTCTCTGTGTCATTAGCTTGAAGAATTCATCACCAGTTGACTGCTCCTTTTTGCAGATAGAGCCGGTTGTGCCCGAACTTACAGAAGCACTAGCCACGTCTGGGCAGGTCCCTTTTTTGCTTCCTCCACCACAACTTCCCTCGGCACGAGGTGACAGTATCGTGTAAATAAAATGAATTGTATTGGAAAGGATGCGTCATTGTGTGCAGCATGCTATTGAAGGCTCCTGAAACGTGGTGCCGAACGGGTGGTTAGTTGAAATGCGTACCTCACTTTGTTAAGTTTTACATCACATAATTAACACATAGCATGTAAAATGTACAAAATGTTAGCTCGTGTAGGTCTCGTGTCTTGAGGGAGTGTGTCAATAACGGATACGTACCGTGTCCCGTGGTGAGGTTGATCACCATAGACGATTTGTCGTACCGTCGACAAAAACTAACTGGGGCCTGTCGCTACGCCAGAGATAGCGATCCTAGAAGCAGCAGTCTAGAAGTAGAGATCCTAGAACCAGAGATCGACCATCGATCCTAAGACACATTTTCCTGTTTCCGTCCAAATTCGTTCCGTTTGTCCCTGCTTGCGCAGGACTACGTACGCCTTCTTAGATTCTTCTGGTCCTCATCTAAATACTTCCGAACCTCACCGTACTTTTGGTCCGATCCGAGCGTCAAAGGAATTCGTCAGGATGCGTCGGGGTTCGCATTCTGCCTTGCCAGTTCCTCCGTCGCATCTCGTTTCGTTGTTAGACCGTGGATTTTCATGGATCGGAGTGAATCCAACCGTTGTACGAGCTCTGTCAGCACCAGCAGTATCACCGATAGCTACAGTGACGGCAGCAGCAACAGCCGAAACGGCAGACGCGCGGGTTAGACCAGCAACAGCGGCAACAGCAGCAGCAGCAGCGACAGCAACCACAGCAACGACAGGGCCGGGGATATGGCTCCTAGCCAGGTCCACGTCAGCGCAATCATTGCCAGTTAGATCCAATCCTAGCCGATCGGAGTTGGAACGTGTTGGGAGTTGCAGTGCGGCTTTTCCTCACCTCTCCTCTCACCGCGATGCTCTGTTCGCCTCTCCTCTCGTTGCGACACGACCTCTAAATGAGGCGGGTTACCGGGAAACCAGAATAGTCTTAAGCGAAAGAGCACGGACGTGCATTATTAACAGTTCCGTGAGCATCGGATCGCGGTCCATCGCTACTAATACCGCGTCAAATGACACGTCGGATGCCGCGTCAGATCCATCCCTCCCGCCAATCAAGCCGTACGACGCTCTGTTTCGCGATCCTCCGAAGCCTCTAGGCGTGGGTCCCAATCCCAAGGTGGTATCTACACCCAAGGGAGGAGTATACGGCGCGGTGCTGGGCGTTCTAGGATACTATTCCAAGGAGAGTGAGTTAATCCGCGGCGCGAACGCGCTCTACAAGGCGGTGACGCGTCAGGCTGACGACGAGATGTTCTTAAGAGGTGGGCTGTGGTTATGCCACCTGGTTATCCTGATTCTTCAGATTAATGATATTTTAAGCTCGTTTTTTAAATCCCAACCGCCTAATACTCACCTACTCCTCCAAACTTCCTTTCCATCTTCTCCGTCTTCCCCTTCCCCACCCCCGCTCCCCTCGCCCTCCCACCCGCAGCGCTCGGCCTCCCCTCGCAGTTCCGCACGCACCACGCGCTGCTCGTGCTGCACACGTGGCTGGCGCTCCTGCGCCTGCGCAAGGAGGGCGCGCAGGGGGCGGCGGTGGGGCAAACCTTCTACGACACGTTCAACCACGACGTGGAGCGGCGCGTGGTGGCGGCGGGGGTGAAAATGCTCGTCAGCAAGTGGATGCGCGAGCTCGAGCGGAGCTTCTATGGCGCCGCTGCTGCTTATGATGCGGCAGTGGCGCCTGGTGCGAGCGCGGATGCTCTCCCCAAGGCCCTCTGGCGGTGAGTCCTATGGGTTTCGGTGGATGGGGGGGTTGAAGCTGCTGGTCAGCAAGTAAGTGGATGCGCGAGCTCGAGCGGAGCTTCTATGGCGCTGCTGCTGCTTATGATGCGGCAGTGGCGCCTGGTGCCAGTGCTGACGCTCTACCAAAGGCTCTCTGGCGGTGAGTGCTACGCTTTTCAGGTGAGGTTCAGGAACCGGGTTTTTGTAAGTAGGGAGCGCAGGGGCCGCAGGGGGCAGTGATGGGGCAGACGGTCGGGCAGACGGTCGGGTTGTGGGGAAGACAGTGGGGCAGGCGGTGGGGCAGACTGTGGGGAAGACAGTGGGGCAGGCGGTGGGGCAGACTGTGGGGAAGACAGTGGGGCAGGCGGTGGGGCAGACTGTGGGGAAGACAGTGGGGTAGGCGGTGGGGCAGACTGTGGGGAAGACAGTGGGGCAGGCGGTGGGGCAGACTGTGGGGAAGACAGTGGGGCAGGTGGTGGGGCAGACGTTGTACGACACATTCAATCACGACGTGGAGCGGCGGGTGGTGGCGGCGGGGGTGAAGCTGCTCGTCAGCAAGTAAGTGGATGCGCGAGCTCGAGAGGAGTTTTTACGGCGCTGCCGCAGCCTATGATGCGGCAGTGGCCCCTGGTGAGAGCGCGGATGCTCTCCCCAAGGCCCTCTGGCGAGCATCCGAGCGCTGAGTCCTATGGGTTTCGGTGGATGGGGGGGTGAAGCAGCTGATCAGCAAGTGGATGCGCGAGCTCGAGCGCAGCTTTATGGCACCGCTGCTGCAGCCTATGATGCGGCTGTTGCACCGGGCGCGAGTGCTGATGCTCTCTCCAAGGCGCTCTGGCGGTGAGTGTGTGAGAGACAGGCGCGTATCAGGTGTTGTATAGCAGATGAATTCCCGTTAGGAGGGTGCGCTGCGTAAAAGCATATCCGTTTTAAGCTCTTCAGAGACGTCGCACAACACTTTCTCATATCTCAACTACTCTCAGAACAAAGTTGATTGACACGATGCAGCAGTTTACCCGGCTCTGGCCTTTTCCCTTCAAATCCGCTTTACCCTCTTGAACTGACGTGCTGCAATGTGTTTGCACAAACGCGTCTGACATGCCCTCTGGTACTGCAGCTTCATTAAAACATGTTTTTTTTCTCTGGCCTTTTCACACTTCTCGAAACGATGCGAACTCATTTGATGAAGCAATCTTTGTCTCTCTGACTCCCTTCCCACGACCCTCACTCTCCCCTCTCCCCTCTGCCGTGCCTCTCAAATTGCTGTGCAGCAATGTGTTTGCAGAGGACGCGTCTGACATGCCCTCCGGCCTTGCAGCTGCTCCCGTGCAGGTGAGAGAGGGGGGGTGCTGCCGTGCAGGTGAGAGAGGGGGTGAGAGGGGGAGTGCTGCCGTGCAGGTGAGAGGGGGGGTGCTCCCGCCCCACCCCGCCACACCAACCCCAATCTCCTTCACCATCCCACCTTCCTCTCACCATCTCTGCTGTTCCACTCTTTGGAGTTAAGTCTAAGCCCCTCACGCTCGTCCCTCTTTGCGTTGCTGGTTACCACCTGCAGGCTTTGACGCGTTACGTGCGGCTTGAGCTCGCCTCCCTTGCACTCACAGGTGATGTGACATGTGACATGTGATGGATGTGGTGTGGGGTGGTGTGGTACGGTGGGGTGTACTGTCGTGTACTGTGGTGTGGTGTGGTGTGGTGTGGTGTGGTGTGGTGTGGTGTGGTGTGGTGTGGTGTGGTGTGGTGTGAGGTGAGGTGAGGTTAGGTGAGGCGTCAGCAGGCCACCCATGTGATTGAACACCTTGCATTCCCACATGGGTGCTGTGTGCACCCATTCGTACGGCCGACCATGATTCTCTGATCAGCTATGTCGGCGTCACTTTTGAGATTGCTCAAAAGTGGTCATCACGGCTCTCTCATCAGCTTGGCTCATGGAATGAAACTACCGTAACAAGTTTTCTCAACTTTTCTCCTGATGCATCTGTTCACGCTGTGTTCTCCGCACTTTCCTGTTTTCCAGACTCTTGAGTCGACTCAAAAGTCAAGTTCCCTCATCTTTTCCCTGATGCATCTGTTCACGCTGTGTTCCCCATACTTTCCTGTTTTCCAGACTCAGAGGCGATTCTCACTGGCAACATCACCTTCACCAACACCTTCCATGCAGAATCTTGAATGTAATAGTACAGCACAGTATACTGCAAAAACACTTTAATGTTACACTGTATGTGTAATCCGCAGTTTCAGCTACGAAGCTAATCCCAGTTCTACAATACAAGAGCAATTTCTTCACTCAAAACACTTCACAACCTTCAGCCCGCCAAATCATTCACTAGGGCTGTGCTTCTGGACTGTAGTGGGCACTATACTGTTCCTTCCTATCCCTGAGTAGTGAAGGGCACAACCCCTCGCACCAACATCCTGGGTTACTCCCCTTCACTTCCAGCTGCGTTGAAATCACTTTTGAGAATTCTCATAAGTGATTTCAATATAGCTCACACCAACATCCTGGATTACTCCCCTTCACTTCCAGCTGCGGCTGCAGCCGAGCTAGCAGCTGTGGAGCTCTCCTCTGCATGCCTGTCTCCTGTACCACTCTCCCTCCACTTTCTCTAAGCCCCCATCAGCCCCCAGTAGGCAGTGATCCGCTTCACCTCCCCCTCTCCCGCCACCCCAGCGCCCACCACCCACGTTGCTGACAGCACAAACGGCCTCCCTGTCACCAGCTGCAGCAAGCGAGGAGCACACATCACAACACCTACAGCACCAACGGCCTCGCTGCCAACACCACCACCAGCTGCTGCTGTTGCTGCTGCTCCTGCGGACAGGCTCACGCCTCTCTCCTGTACCACTCTCCCTCCACTTTCTCAAAGCCCCCATCAGCCCCCCAGTAGGCTGTCATTTCGTTTCACCTCCCCCTCTCCCGCCACCCCAGCGCCCACCACCCACGTCGCTGACAGCACAAACGTCCTCCCTGCCACCAGCTGCTGTTGATGAATCAGAGGCTAGGCTCTACCATACCATTCCCCCTTACGCCTGTCTCCTGTACCATTCCCCCTCTACGCGTTCAAAGCCGCCATCAGCCCCCCAGTAGGCTGTAATCCTTTTCACCTCCCCCTCTCCAACCAGCCCAGCACCCACCACCCACGTGGCTGACAGCACAAACGGCCTCCCTGCCACCAGCTGCAGCGAGCGAGGGCCGCACGCCACCACCCCCTGGGGCAGAGAAAACACCTCGTACTTTTCCTCGTCTCCTTGAGGCACCCGCCCCATGAACCCTGCCGCCGCCGCAGATGCTGCGGCAGGTGCAGCAGCGGCAGCAGCAGCGGCGGCACTGTTAGGGCTCCATTCCTCTGCCCAGGACAAGTGTTCTCGCTCCTCGACCATCAGGTTGCGAGTCAGAACGGTGCGAGTTCCCACCACTGTCTTGTCATCTAGTGCCGGAACGGGTGGCAGGTGGTCGGGCAGACGGGACGCGAGGCCGCCCGGGCCCCACGTGGGCGAGACCCAATCTGCCGGGCGGCGTTCGTTGGTGTCTAGCGAATCTTCTACTGCCACTGAGGTTCGGAAGGCTCCGTCTGCTTCGTACTGAATGCTGCAGCCAAGACGGGACATGGTTGCTGGAGGGACATGGGAAGGGGGGATTGAGGGGAAGGGGAGGGGGTGCATGAGAGGAAAGGTATCGTTTTTGGAAGGCTCCGTCTGGTTCATACTGAATGCTGCAGGGTGTCTGCTTCCTAGAGAATTCTCAAAAACACCCTGCAGTGTTTGGAAGGCTCCGTCTGCTTCCTACTGAATGCAGCCGCCGAGACGGGAAGCGATTGAGGAATGCGAAGAAGAACTCGATCATAAAGGCAGCTTCATACCCCCAGCCCCACCCCCCACCTCCAGAGGCGCCCAGGTGCCCTTCACGTGTCTGCAGCAATCCCCTTAGTTTCGATACAAGTAGAGTAGGCCTGACTGACTCACTGTGGGCGAAGAAGAATTCGATCATAAAAGGCACCTTCATACCGCCCGCCCCATCCGCCACCTCAATAGGCGCCCAGATGCCTTCCGCGTTCCGGCTCACGACGTATCGGCGCGAGTTGCTGGCTGCCACGTGGCAGAATCCGTCTGGCAGGCTGTGCTGTGCAAGCGACATGTCCCATTGCACGCCCACCTTGGGCATGTATGCAGGCATCTCGCCCTGAAAATCGTACCAGTCGTTCTGATGGTGCGGGGGGAGAGGGGGAGAGGGGGGGAGGGGGAGAGGAGGGGAGAGGGAGAGGGGGAGAGGGGGAGAGGGGGAGAGGGGGAGAGGGGGAGAGGGGGAGAGGGAGAGAGGGAGAGAGGGGGAGAGGGGGAGAGGGGGAGAGGAGGGGAGAGGGAGAGGGGGAGAGGGGGAGAGGGGGAGAAGGGGAGAGGAGGGGAGGGGGAGAGGGGGAGAGGGGGAGAAGGGGAGAGGGGGAGAGGAGGGGAGGGGGAGAGGGGGGGAGGGGGAGAAGGGGAGAGGGGGAGAAGGGGAGAGGGGGAGAAGGGGAGAGGAGGGGAGGGGGGGAGGGGGAGAGGGGGAGAGGAGGGGAGGGCAGGGGAGGGAGAGTACGGAGACGTGTCAAGGCTGTGCTGTGCAAGCGACATGTCCCATTGCACGCCCGCCTTGGGCATGTATGCAGGCATCTCGCCCTGAAAATCGTACCAGTCGTTCTGATGGAGGGGGGAAGGGAGGCGTGGAAAGGGGAGGGAGGCGAGGGCATGGCAGGGGAGGAGAGGGAGCGTGTTGAGGCGTCTAAAGACTGTGGCAGGTCCCAATGGGCACCTGCCGTGGGCATCTGTGGAGGCAACTTTTGAGTCGACTCAAAAGTCACCAGGTCCCAATGGGTACCTGCCGTGGGCATCTGTGGAGGCAACTTTTGAGTCGACTCAAAAGTCACCAGGTCCCAATGGGTACCTGCCGTGGGCATCTGTGGAGGCAACTTTTGAGTCGACTCAAAAGTCACCAGGTCCCAATGGGTACCTGCCGTGGGCATCTGTGGAGGCACCTCCTCCTGAAAGTCCTACCAGTCATTCTGACAGGGGGGGAAGAGCAAAGGATGGCAGGGAAGAGAAGGTGAGGAGATTGAAGGGGAGGGGAGGGGAGGGGAGGTGAGGGGAGGGGAGGGGAGGGAAGGGGAGGGAAACGGTGGGAAGGGGAAGGGGGAGGAGGTGAGGTGAAGGAGAGGGAGAGTGTACGGGTGACTTATGAGGCGATTCATAGTTCAAGAGGTGCAATGGAGGGGATGAAAAAGGGATGGGGCAGGATGAGAGAGCATTGACAAAGCTCACCACGTGGGCGATACTCGGTGACTTTTGAGTCGCCGAGGGGGAGGGGGATGGGGTAGAATGGAGAATGGGAGAGCATTGACAAGCTCACCACGTGGGCGATACTGGTGCGATCAGGTGACGTGGCCCACATCTTCCGCACGGATTTCATGGATCGGTTCTCGTCCGTTGATTCGAGCGGCTTCCACGATCGCCATTGGCCGTGAAAGTTGGTCATAAGGCGCTCCGGCGTGCCCCACCACCAGTGCTCCTCAGGAGTCATCTGACGGACCGACGTGGCTTCTCCGCCGTCAGATGCTGGGACAGGGACAGCAGTACTGCTACTCGAGCCAGAAGCCATGGCGGCTGATGACGTGGCGGAGGATGACGTGGACGCGATGACGTGTGGTTGGATGGAGGACGTGATTGGTCGGGGAGATGACGTGCAATGCTTGCGTGCACCTGAGGTGGTATAAGTGGGGGAGAGAGAGGAGGAGCATGAGGAGTTTCGGGAAGGGGAAGTGCAGCAGGAAGCGAAAAAGAGATTGAATGCAACGCTTTCGACACTTTCCCGCAGACTTTCGAATCCCGCAGACTGTGCACACTCGCGGCGTTCAACCGACCAAGCTTTATCGTGGAGAGCAGTTCTAGACGCGCATCAGGAATGCGTTGCCATGCACCATAGCCGTTGCCTCTGGGGAATGACGTAAACATCAAAGGCCAGCCAAGGCCAGAACGGTCGGGTCGCACCTGTCAGGCTCACATTCGTCGCAACGGGTCGCCCCGCGAATTCCGATAGCGAGCAAATCTGACGAGAAGCCGCGACGCCACGGGCGGCACTCTCGGAAATGCTGCTGCTGCTAATCGCCACGGCACTGGTCGAGGCGGCGAACGACATGCTGTATTGAGAATTCAGAAACGGCAGCAGATGGGAGTTGTGAGGCGTTTAGAGTGTGCTAGTGAAGATTAGTACAACCAATTTGCCGATTTTAGTAATCGTCAATTCTTCGTGGAATCGAGCAAGGCGGCGTGTTGCCGATGGATGCAGTTACCGAGAATCATAGATTCGGATTAGTGTGTGACGTGGCGCGGCGTCACTTGTTGTTTTGCAGCTCTTCTGCCCAGTCAGCAAAGTCAGTCTACAGCACCGAGATCCTCGGGAAATTTTGCGAAATGCGCTGCGCAGACGGGACAACCTTTGCAGTGCATTTTTGCGCACTGAGGTGGAACAAACACTATATCAAGGAATACAATACAAAGCAGAAAATGATGTTCTGCATACCAACATAGGTGTATCAGTGTTTTTTATGTAAGAAAATGTTTTACACAGAATTCAAAAATATTTTTATAATACATTTCTCATATAAAGGTCAGAAATAATGCTTACATATTAAGAATTTGGCAGAAACTTTGCCCTAAGGAGAATGAGAGAGCAAAATATACAACTTCTGTACCGTATATCCCAAGGTGTTAGAAATGCACCAAAGTGACTGCATAAGAAAGGAGCCGAACCCCGCAACCGCAGGTACTGACTTATTACACCACCACCGTACATAGACAGACCGTTTCTACAACGTCGATTCAGCAAGCCTTCTCATCCTGACCACAGATCCTGGACCCACCACAGCGCCAACAGACGATTGTTACCAGTTGCACGAGGCGGGCGCCGAGGCGATTGGACGATAAGCATTAGCCGGTCAAGTACAGCAGCGAATCCAGGCCTCGAGATTGCCGTGCTGCCACTTCACTTCTCCCAGGGATCATGGCCCAACAGCAGAAAGTGAGACCAGCCCAGAGCCCATATATGCAATGCAATGCAACTCCAGCAAGCCCACGGGCCATTGCCCACGGGACACAGCCGATCGCTCGCGAATCGGACCGTGTAACCCTCTACCCACTGCCATTGGGCCAGGGGTCAGCCCCAAACCTGGAACAAGTTGACTTCGCTAATACGGGTGTAAATCGCGATTTCATGTCGCCAGTCTCCCGAGCCCAGACCACAGGATTATACTGTACACATAGTATTACGTGTCCCATAATCTTAGCACTTGCGACCCCACCACGTGTTATGTTGTCCCCTCACGTTCCTAGCAGTCGTTAATCGCCACATCCATAACCAGTCGCCATATTCTTGGACCTGTTCCTCTTCCCAATCACCCTGCCCTCTCGTTTCGCAGTTCTCTACTCTCACCGACAGCCTGACCTCGAATTTTATACCACTTTCTAGGCCTCATGTAGGAGCCGCGTGGCGACAAAGAGGACGGCTGGTTCTGGCCCGTTTCCTGCGAGATCGTTTCTGTGGTCCCTTATTTCCCTTTATTTCTGGCAAGCTTCCTCCTTACTTCCCGGCTACAGTGCAGCACACGAGTGGATGGATTTGCCTTTGAAGTCCTCCAGTGTACAGTTCTAGTGGTTGCCTGCTCTTACATCCAACTCCATCTGCTAGAAACAGCTGCACTGAGCAAGTCTATCAGCGATTGAGCTGACCAGGCAGGCAGCCTCAGAAACTATTACTGCCAACAGTTCAACCTGCTTACCAAGAGCGTTCAGTTGTCCAGAATTCAGGGAATTTAAACACTGCGTCCCATTCGTAAAGACTGTAGGATTGACGCTTCAAGCTAGTCGCATTCTCCGCCCATCCTCGGTACCTTGGGGTTGCCGACGACGACTTCGCCAAATTTAATATCGTCGCACCTTCTGTCGTTAAAGTTCGCCGGAACCGCCAGCGCACAATGGGAAACTGCTTTTCGTCAGTCAACGATGACGGCGACTGTCGCATCTCTGCGCGCGAGCGACGCCGTGAGACGCGGCGGAAGGGCGAGCCGCTGCAAAGTGGCTCTCTTTCAGGTGTGCACGGGTGCATGGCCGCGGGTGCGCGGGAAGTGCGCTGTGGGTGCGCGGTTGCGTGTAGCGCGTCGCGTGTAGCATGTAGCTGACTGCAACCGGTATATCAGATTGTCTACCGCTAGTTATGAAAGGGAGAGAATCCGCTAAACGTGCATCTTTGAATCTTGGCATTCGCACCGATTTTAACCTATGCCAACGGGATCCTTACCCTTCCCACCTTCGCAGGGCCGAAGGGCGGCGCGGCGAGCAGCAAGGAGAAGGAGCGCCGCGTGGCGGCTTATCTGGCGGCGGAGCAGCAGCGGGACGACCTGCTGGCACGGCTGACCAATCGGGGGACGGCAAATGGGTTTGTGCCACGTGTGCTGCGCGCCACGTCGGACACGGACTTCACAAGCAGCGAAAACTTCAGCAGCAGCGACAACAGCAGTGAACGCAGTAGTACCAGCACCAGCAGCAGCAGCAACGGCGGCGGTGGTGGTGGTGGGATGCAGCTGCACTGCAGCATGTTCTCGCTGGGCGGACAGAAAGGCATCAACCAAGACTCCATGGTCGCATGGCAGGTACACACCCTTCATCGATTTCAGCCTTCCCCTATTCCCTCTCGCTCTTCCTTCCCGCAGTTCCCCCCTCTTCCCCCCTCGCCTTCTTTCCTCTTTATCCTCGCGCTCGTCATACCGCCGCTCTTGCCTTCCTTTCCTTCCCATTCCCCCATCCCCTCCCTTCCTCCCTTGGCAGCCCTTCGGGGGGCTCAACCTCCGTGCAGTGCGCCGTGATGGACGGACATGGCCGCTTCTCTCAAGGCACCTCACAAGTCTCTCCTTTCCCTTCCCCTCCCGGTCCCCTTTCCCTCCCATCCCACTCCCACCTGCAGTCCTTTGCGGGCCCTGCCTCCGTGCTGTGCGCCGTGATGGACGGCCATGGCCGCTTCGGTCACACAGTGTCGGCACGCGTGAGGGACTCCGTCCCCTCTCAGCTCTCGCAGCGCCTCTTCCCGCACGCCAATGGTGCTGATGCCTCATCGTCGTATGATGCTCTCGCCGCATCGTTGCGTGGTGATGACGGATCAGTGGGGGGCGCTGCACACGTGGCGGAGCAGCAGTGGAGGGAGGCCGTGCGCGGCGCGTTTGAGGCCGTTGATCGTGAGGTGAAGCTGCATCCGGCCGTTGATCCGCTCGTCAGTGGCAGCACAGCGGTGGTGGCGATGGTTCAAGTGAGTCGGCCTTGCACTCCCCTTCATCATTCTTTCATCATTCTTTTCTTCCGCTCTTCATTCCACCACCTCACCCGTTCTTCACTCTCTCACCCTCATCTCTTCCCCTCTCTCCTCCTCACCCCGCCCTTCTCTTTCTATCCCTCACTCCCCTCCCCCCGTTTTCCCCCCAGGCAGCACGACCATCTCTTTCTGGCCAAGGTGACTTTTTGAGTCGACTCAAAAGTCTTCTCTCTCTACCCCCCCACCCCCCCCCCCCCCCCCCCCCCCCCTCCCCCCCCCCCCTTTTCCCCCCTGTCAGCACAACCATCTCTTTCTGGCCAACCTCGGGGATTCCCGTGCCGTGCTCGCCAGACGAGCACACTCAACTGTTTCCTGCGATGCCACCTCAGCTGCTGACACGGCTCCCTGTCATGCTGGACCCACCGCAACCAGTCCGAACCACCACCAACCGGATCAACCCCAACCACCTCCCGCCAGCTGTCACGCTCTCGAGGCCGTCGCCCTGACTGCCGACCACAAGTGCTCCGATCCAACAGAGGCCGCCCGGATCAGGAAAGCGGGCGGCAGAGTGGAGGCGCTAGAAGACGAGAAGCACGTGATGAGGATCTGGCTGCCCAATGAGATGGCCCCGGGGCTGGTCACGTCCCGGGCGGTGGGCGATTTCCTGCTGAAAGGATTCGGAGTGATCAGCGAGCCTGATGTTACCGTGTTACCAGTGGACGATGGAGACGAATTCGTCATCCTGGCGACCGACGGGGTACGAAACGTTTTCTGACCAGAATTTATGTGTACTCTCTGACAATGTCGCTCCATTGCCCGCCATGTTCATTGTTATATCCCTCTCTCTACCCTTGATTTGTAGTCGCTAAACAAAGTCTCTCTTCATTCTCCCCCCTCCTCCCCCCTCCCCATCAGGTGTGGGACGTGCTCTCTCACGAGGAGGCTGTCTCTATCGTTGCCACGTCACCATCCCCTGCCACGTCAGCAGAGCGCCTGGTGACCTCAGCGCAGGAGGCCTGGGCGGCCAAGTATCCCAAGGCCCGGCGAGACGACTGCACAGCTGTGGTGCTCTTCCTCCGAACCTCCCTGCCGAACCTGATCCCAGACCTGCCATGCCCTGGCCGGGGAGAAGCCGGCTCGGGAGAACCTGCCGGAGCCGGAGAGGTTGGGCAGTGCGTGGCAATGAAAGCTACTTCAACTGGTTCGGTTGCTTCAACTGATTTGACTGGTTTGACTGGTTTGGCTGGCTCGACTGGAGACGAGGTCAAAGCTGCGCGATCTTCCCAAGAGGCTTCAAAAGACAACAGGTGCCGCAGCAGCAGCAACAGCAGCGCCCCTGTAAATTCCCCTCCCCCTCCCGTGGTTTTTGAACCCCTGGTTAGAACCCAAGGCCCCACCAATAGCGGCAGCAGCAGTGCCCCTGTAAATTCCCCTCCCCCACCTGTAGTTTTTGAACCCCTGGTTATAACCCAAGACCCCACCAGCAGCGGCAGCAGCAGCAGCAGCAGGAGGAACAGTAACAGCAGCAACAGCAGCGCTAACAGCAACAGAGAGAGTAGCAGTGAGAGCTGCAGCAGTGGAGAGCTGAATGAGCAAAGCACTGGTGTGGACTCGGGCCGATGCAACGACCAAAGCACTGATGCGATGTTACATACGGCTGACACTGCTGTCACGCCTGGTGTCACCACTGCTGCTGAAGGTTCCATGCCTTCTGATGCAGGCTCTGATGCTGCGGAACAGTGCTTCACAGAGCGGCACGGAGATGCAGTGTTCACAGATGAAGGGCTCAGATTCCACCGGAATGACACCGTTGGTGACCTGGCGGCGCTTGATTGGCAGGACGAGCAGGTGCTGGCGAAGCGGACTCTGAGGCGATGCCATGAGGGTGAAGTGGAGGGGGAGAAGAAGAATGACAAACAGCTGAAACGGGGCTTGAGGAGGGATGAATGAGAAGTGTTAGGGGGAGTGGTGCGTGGGACAAGGGAGTTGGGAGTTAGCTCGGAAGGTGTGCGGTTCCTACTCTGTACAGAAGGGCTTGTTGGAATTATTACGGACTATTTCTTGGAATTCTCAATATTTTCTCTCAAGGGTTCCACTCTGCACAGAAACAGTCTGAGTGAAAGGGAGGAAATGTGTGTGGAATGCTGTGAGGCAGCTTGGGAAAATTTTGAAATAAGGGTTGAGCTTAGCGTTCGAGAATGATTTGGGGAGGACGGTGCAATGCAGTGCGCTCTTGGGCATCGTGAGAGTGACTGGGATAATGGGTTCAGTGCGGTGCAGTCCTCTTCTGCATGCCACGAGATGGAACGGACTAGCTGCAGGGATTCGCGAGGCCTTCTTTCCAGCCTGATACCATTAGGCTGCATTGCAGCTTGTACCATACAATGTATGATAGGGTTGCTGAATGTGTGCTTTGTAGTGCAATCCTGGTTCAGCAGGATTTGGTCGGTTGGTTCACACCGAACCAACACGACACGGTGATACTGTAGTCTGTAGGCAAAGGTGTTTTGTGCTTCACTTGCAGATCTGGACGTAAGAAAACACAAGCTTTCATATGCTACCTTCTTGTCCCTGCGGTGTTGGTTATAAAGCACTGCTGTCTACGGGTTTGAGTTGAGTACACAACATCAGGCTCATGAGTGATCGGAAGGCTGGAACTTGGTTTCATACAATAAGATTATGCTAGTTGCATATATATATATAGCATACATACAGGTAGGGACTGTAGGTAGGGTTGTTTGTAGGTAGGCAAGGTACAGGCACACAGCAGCACACAACAACGCATCACACTGCTTGTTTGCAGCTCCAAGTGCGAAGCACTTTTGAGAATTCTCAAAGGTGATCCCAGGAAGCAGCGGCCGATTCGATTCACGCACGGAGCGAGACAAGAGTCATTCAAGCCGTTACGAGGTGCAGAAATTCCGCCGATGCAGCTCATTTGTGAGCCTCTTAAAGCCAGGATCTCAAGTAAGAGAATTGGCCTTCAATTGCAAAACACTTGCAGCGCTTGTTACCCTATTTTTGTAGGCGAATTGACTGGCTGGTTAGGAAAGTGAGCGTGCGGCACACCCACGATTTTGCCCCTAGAGCAAATGCAAAACATTTTGCTGGTACATGAGATTGTTGTGTGTGACGAGAAATTGCAGGCATTGGAGCTTCGTCACCGAACCAGTTTCCGAGCCTTGCTTGGTTCGGACTGAACTTGCGATTTGTCTTTACTTCGCACCCCTCGCTTCACACCTCGTCAGATTGTTCACCTCGCTAACCAATCGCAGCCCAGCTCCCCTCACCAACTGCAAAACAATTGAACTACTTGAGATCCTGGCTTTAACGCCTCCTTGAATTTTAGCGATTGCAGAAGTGATGGTGTTACTTTTGAGAAATCTCAAAAGTAATACCAACAGAGCTTTACCTCAAAAGTAACACCAACACTGCTGTACTTTTTGTGTTACTGATCTGATCACAGCAGTGGAGAAGAGCAGAGCAGGTATGATGCAAACCATAAACAGCATCATAGAGGCCATGTAAGCACCCCATGCACCCCATGCACCCCATGCACCCCATGCACCCCATGCACCCCTCCCATGCGCCCCTCCCCATGCGCCCCTCCCCATGCGCCCCTCCCCATGCGCCCCTCCCCATGCGCCCCTCCCCATGCGCCCCTCCCCACATACGTCGTCAGCCATGGCCTGCCATTGGTCGGGCGGGATGACAGCTGGCAGGTACTGCGTGCTGATGAGACACGTCAGCACGCGGTCAAAGATGTCCTCCTGGGTCTCGTCCACGGGGCGCACCTGATGGGGGAAAGGCAGGCAGCGGAAGGGAGGCAGGCAGGCAAGCAGAAAGAGAAAGGCTGGGACAATGAGAAGCAGTCAGAGTGGAAGTGTGGAGTGGAAGCACGCGGTCAAAAATGTCCTCTTGGGCTTCGTCCACTGGTCGCACCTGATACAGGACAGGGGGTTGGGCGAGAGGGGGTAGGCAGGCAGGCAGGCAGAGAGGCAGAGAGGCAGAGAGGCAGAGAGGCAGAGAGGCAGAGAGGCAGAGAGGCAGAGAGGCAGAGAGGCAGAGAGGCAGAGAGGCAGAGAGGCAGAGAGGCAGAGAGGCAGAGAGGCAGAGCGGCAGAGAGGCAGAGAGGCAGAGAGGCAGAGAGGCAGAGAGGCAGAGAGGCAGGCAGAGAGGCAGAGAGGCAGAGAGGCAGGCAGACAAACAGGCAGGCCGAAAAAAAGAAAAGAAAAGAAAAGAAAAGGATTTGACGATGCTAAGCAGTCAGGGTAGGAATGTGGAAAAGGACCCAGTCAAACCACCTGCTATAGTTCGCTCTTGCAACAGTAACCACCGGCACCAGTAACCACATGCCTGCAAGCCCACAAGCACGTCTTGGTGCTCCATGTGGCCGTGAAAGGCCCTCACAATGCGATCCCACAGATAATTGGCCGGCAGGAGTATATAGCTGGTGGGGCGAGTGCAGGGGGGTTGGAGGGGAGGAGAGAGAGAGAGGACAGAGAGGAGAGAGAAGGATGGGAGGGGGTGAGTGGGGATGGAAGGCCCGCACTAGCCGGTCCACATGTAGTTGACAAAGAATAACACACACCCACGCCCACCCACCCATCGAATTGCCGTGCAACGAGTGTGAGCGAAGTGAGTCGAGTCTTGAGCCGCATCACCACTCGTATAGCTTCACGCAGCCACTCACCGAGCAACATGTGTGAAGACCCGGCGATCCGGAAACACTACCTCCAGGCGAGCCTGCAGGGAAGGACATGACATTCGCCCTCCACCCACTCACCCACCCACCCACCCACCCACCCACCCACCCACCCACCCACCCAGCAACTCACCGTGCATCGTGTGTGAAGACCCGGCGATCCGGAAACAGTACCTCCAGGCGAGCCTGCAGCAGGAGGGGACACGGGGTTGAAAGTGTAGCGAGGTGATTCATCAAGTCAAGTAGACGATTTTTGAGGCGCCTCAAAATTTTTTGAGGCGCCTCAAAAATCTGCAGCAGGAGGGGACAAGGGGTTGAAAGTGTAGAGAGGTGATTCATCAAGTAGACGAGTTGAGAATAGGGGTATTGGACGGAGCTAAAGTTTGGCTTAGTTCGAGAGCAGGCGAGCAGCCTTGGTCCTGAAAAGGGACAGTACAGCAGAGCAGTGCTACATAGAGTTACATAGAGAGGTAGCGAGAGTAAGGGGGCAAAGTACAGGAGAGCTGAGAGGAGTCCTGGCAAGGAGGTGTTGTAGTAGAGGCAGCAGTACCGCGAGGGAGGGCATGAAGTAGAGCGGGGGCACGAAGTACATGTCGCTCCAGAACATCATAAAGGTTTTCTCCGCCACCTCCTCCTGTGTGCGCCGGCAGAAGAACGTCCACTCCTCCTCGGGCGTTCTGAGCGGGACGGAGAGAGTTCAGGGCGCACACAGGGCATGCAAAGCGGCATCAGGAAGTGCGCGCAAAACAATCAATCAAACAACAATGATGGCTTGCAACCTCCTGCAAACACCCACCCATCCATCCCGCTCGTTACACTCACACCCAGTCCAGGTGGCAGAACACCCCTCGAGAGTGCCTTTTGAGTCGACTCAAAAGTCAACACCCACCCAACCATACCCACCCATATCCACCCATACCCACCCATCCCGCTCGTTACACTCACACCCAGTCCAGGTGGCAGAACACCCCTCGAGAGTGCCTGTCCGCCTTCTCTGCCACGTTGCGGGGACCCTGCTCCAAATCCGCCTTGATGCTCCTGAGGGGGGGAGAGAGGGGGGGAGAGAGGGGGGGAGAGAGGAGGGGAGAGAGAGGGGGAGAGAGGAGGGGAGAGAGGGGGGGAGAGAGGGGGGGAGTGAGACAGGCGGAGAGAGAGGGGGAGAAAGGAAGGAAAGTGGCGAATGAGGCGTTGGGAAAAGAGGAGGGAGATGCGAGGGAGTGACTTTTGAGTCGACTCAAAAGGTCTCACCAGAAGTGCGAGGCGGGAATGAGCCAGGAGGAGTGCGCGAAGGGGTTGCAGAGGAGCGAGGGCATGAGGCCATCGTCTGGCATGAGGATGGCTCGATGCGTGATGAAGGCGTATGTGAAGGTGGAGATTACAGACATGTTGCGGTTGCCCAGACCTGAAATGACGGTGGGAATACGAGGGCATGAAAGGTGGAGATTAAAAAAAAAAAAATGCACATGGGTGCAGACAGATGAGAGGTGCAGACAGGTGGAGATGGGTGCAGCCAGGTGAGAGGAGATGGAGGTGGGTGTACTGTAGGTGAAAGGCAGAAACAGCCAGTGTGGTGTGGATGCAGTGCGAGTGGGTGGTTGGAAGGAAAAAAACGTACCATACTTGCACCCACGCATCCACCCCTAAGATAGATTCGGCCCAAACCACTCACCGTGCCACTGGCCGGGAATCAGAAAACGCATACTTGCACCCTTCCACGTCCGCTGCTGCTGGTGACTAGCTTTCGCCTGGAGAAACAGAATCAGCCTAGTCATTCACTCACCGTGCCACTGGCCGGGAATTAGAAACGCATACTTGCACCCTTCCACGTCCGCTGCTGGTGACAGCCCCTCGGACCTGTTGAAGCAGCACATGGGGCAGAGTGAGGGGGGAGGTTTAAGCGAGGAAGGAGAAGTGGCAATGAGGGGCTGAGGTAACCTTGTGAGTCGACTCAAGCCTCTAGATCTGCACCCTTCCACGTCCGCTGCTGCTGGTGACAGCCCCTCGGACCTGTTGAAGAAATGCACAAGGCAGGGTGAAGGGGAAGGGTGAGGCGGGGAAGGAGAAGGCGCACGGCACGCAGTACACGAGAACCTTCAGCCATGAGAACAAGTCCGGCTATAGCAAGCACGCATCACTCACTCCCTCTCTCTTGCTGCAGCGTCCGCAGCACAAACCCTCACTGGTTGAAGTAGAAGGCCTTCCAGTCGGTGATCCCCTCCGTGCACCGCTGGTGCATGCATGCGCTCATGCTCCGTACTTAGCCTCCCAGGTTGTAGCACACGCATTCCAGGCTGTCTGCACTACGGATAACACATAGCATTCTCTCTGTAGAAGTGCAGCACTCACTGGTTGAAGTAGAAGGCCTTCCAGTCGGTGATGCCCTCCGTGCACCGCTGGTGCATGCGCTCGTACTCCGTCTTCTGCCTCGCAAACGCGGCTGATGGCTCCACGTGCGCTCCCGCCTGTCATGACATCAACCCAAAGCAAGGCAAAAGAGCGGGGAAAGGGGAAGAGACACTTGAGTTGAGGCGGCTGAAAACACTCTCACTCCGTCTTCTGCCTCGCAAACGCGGCTGATGGTTCCACGTGCGCTCCCGCCTGTCATGTCACTGTGCCAACCCAAGGCAAGGCAAGATGGAGAGGGCGTAACACGTGGTGTGAGGCGGTTGTAAAGACTCATACTACGTCTGTCCTCTGCCGCAACCGCAGCAGATGGCGCCACGTGCGCTCCTGCCTGCCAAGTCCCCAGCCAACCCAAGGCAAGAGAGAGGGGAAAAGACACTTGCTTTGAGTCGCCTGGATCCACCGGCGCCATGTGCGCTCCTGCCTGGCAAGTCCCCAGCCAGCCCAAGACAAGAGAGAGGGGAAAACTGCTTTGGGTCCCAAATCACCACAGTCATGACACCCGCTTTGAGTCGCCAGCATCCACCGGCGCCACGTGCGCTCCTGCCTGCCAACTCCCCAACATAAGCCGAGGCAAGGGAGGGGGGCGTGACACTTGCTGAGGCGGTTGAAGGGGGGCGTGACACTTGCTGAGGCGGTTGAAGGGGGGCGTGACACTTGCTGAGGCGGTTGAAGGGGGGCGTGACACTTCCTCAGAGCTCCTTCTTGTGCCAAGAGAGTCACACCCAGAAAGATCCAGGCGACTCAAAGCGGGTGTGGATCCAACCCAAAGAGTACCAGCCCTCCCCAGTACCAGCCCTCCCCAGTACCAGCCCTCCCCAGTACCAGCCCTCCCCAGTGCCAGCCCTCCCCAGTCCCAGCCTGTCCCAGCTGTCCCAACAGGCCCAGTAAGTTACACCCACCTGCCAGTACTGGTGTCGCTCGTGCTTGCTCCAGCACTCCTTCTTGCCGCGAATCAACCGTCTCCGCTTGTACATATGCCCCTCATGCATCATGTCATATGATGCGAGTCGCCTCCGATGATGCTGCTGACGTGGCATATGCTCAAGTCCCTTCCGATGCTGCTGACTAGGCATCTGCAGTCGCCTCTGTTCGGTTTCTTGCTGATGTGTCAGTTGCTGGGATGATTGTTGCTCCTGATTCGGCAGCAACACCGGTTCTTGCTGCAACCATGAGTCATCCTTGGTGGTACTACTCCCGTCGTCCTTCCCTCTATTCCCGCTTTCATTCTCGTTTCTCGGGAGCTGCAGTTTCGCCAAACCACGCGAACTTCGCTGACGGTCAACGTAAGCGAATCTTTCCTCCGCAGCATCCTCCCCCAACGCGCCGCCCTCCGCCGGCTCAACCGCGCTGGCCTCTTCCCTAGATTCTGCCGAGAAAGGAATCTTTTTACGAATCGCGTCAAGACGGGACGCGCCGAGCGCATCCCCAGGTTTTGCCGAGGGGGAGACCTTTCTCCGAGACGCGCCACCTCGGGGCGCGCCGAGCGCATCCCCAGATTCTGTCGAGGAGGACCGCGAAGCAAGCAAGTCCAATGACCACGATGGTGTGAGGTTGAGAGGGAGTAGGAGGAGGAGCAGAAAGAGGGTGTTGGAAGGGAAGAGGATACGTGAGGGAGCTCGGGAGAGAGGACGAGGGGAGATGACTACCCGGCGACGCAGCACTCGCCGCAACGCACTTGTTTCTAGCCGTTTCATGGCTTGAATCTTGTTGGGGGAGACAAGACGACTAATGATTCGTTCGCTTTTATAGGGGTTGTCCCTTCTTCTGCTGCTGTTGCTATTGCTGCTGCAGCCCAGCCCGCTGAAAATGACAAACGCGTACTACTACTTTTCACGACTCGAACGGGAGTACTACGGCTACTGGAGATTACGCGCCGCGCGCTAGAGACTAAGGGGGTACGACGTCACAAAACGGAATGTCCGAGGTCACAATCCGAGAGAAAAAAAAAACGCATAGAGTCGAGTAAGTAGATCTTGTTTCTTCTCCGAGCAGTCGCGGGGTCTGCGAGCCGGACTCGTCACGGTACCGTGGAGAAGCGACGGTGACTTTCGCTATGCTTGCGCTGCCTCTATCGCACTACAGTACAACTCGTAGTATTACTACTCTGAACTTGGTTCGACGCGAGGTTCCTGTGTGTGTGGATGGGGGCGCTGGGTCGCCGCAGCCTCATCTCGAGCCGCAGAGAAGTAAGTCGTTGTCAAGCAAGAGACCTCATTGAGCAGCAGCGGCAGCAGCAGCAGTGACGCAGACGACGTCAGGCGATGTGACTGAACTCATCAGGCAGCAGAATACCTCGTCGTCAGGCAACATAACTCATCACGCAGCCCAGCAGCCGGATTAATGCTTACATGCTGCGCAGGTGGCGCTCAGAGGTGCTCTGGTGCGCCCAGATAAATTTCTGCCTATGGCTGTTTTAAAATCTGACAAGACGACAGATGGTACCGCTTGACTGCTACTTGCGCTTGACTTTTAGACTGAGGCAAGAACTTAGTCGTAAGTAACTGAGCGAAACGAAAAATCGGAAAATAAGGTAACTGAAGGCTGCTGAAACAAATTACCATCAGGTTGATGGTTTTGGCTGAAACAAAAAACTCAAAACACATCTAACGGTTTACATTTTGGTCGCCCAACTCAGAGATTATCCTCAATGCTCCACTTGGGCTGACACATTGCGTGGGTATCGTCCCGAAGAAGCTAGCCAAGGGGGTGCCATTGGTCGAGTCGAGTCGAGATTTGGGCTGGGGAATTGAAGGAACTGTACTGTACTGTAGGGATGTTCAAGCCGTAAGTTGCGGCGCCAGGTTTCGCCAGGCAAGGATGCTGTTGTTTCAACCAAGGACGGTGTTTGGCAATGGCGATGTTCCATTCCAATGCGCACACATTTGGGAATGTGTGCAGTGCAATCAACCACGTGAATGACAGGTGATGTTCGAATATGACAGGCAATATTGAAAATAGAATATGTGTTCTGTACACATGGAAAAAAAATTATGCTGTGTTATACAGCCACCTTTGCTGTCCCGTTGAACTGTAGAATACGTATACAGTGCGCATTGCAATGCAGTCGAACAGAAAGCCTGAAACTTCTGTTCGCTATGTCGGTCAGGCAAATGGGCTGGCGGTCAGGCAAATTGGTTGGCACCACCTGTGAATTGAAACTTCTGTTTCTTGGCATAGGAAATTTGGGACCAATGGACACGAGACACCAGTCCTCGGGGGTTTTCGGCACAGACAAGCGCGTGGTCAGGTTGAACGGGAGGGACGATCCTGGGGAATCTACCTCAGGTGCCGGTCAACAGTTGCTGCCTATAAAAGGGGCGGCTTGACTTGGGACTAATACACTCAAGAGAAAGTAATTCCCAATCAAGCCCCAATATGATATAAAGGTTAGAGAAACCTTATCCAAAGCGTGAGCCTTGCATTGCCCAGTAAATCTGCTGCAAAATAGCATGAAACATAACAGCAAACTTTTTAAATCCTCCCACTCCTGTCCTTTGTCTCATCACGCACAAACCCCCCTTTGCCCTCCACTCTCCTACTATTGCCACAAACCATCAAGCTCCTTTCTGCTTCCCTCCCTCCTCCCCTCTCTTTCCTCAACCTCAATCTCTCCTTGTGCCAATACCAGGCTCAACAAACACCCAGGCTCATCCTCCCTCTTCAGCCCCCTTTCCTTCCTCTCCTTCCTCGTTGTCCTCTCCCCCATCCTCCTCATTCTCCTCCCCTTCTTCCTCATCCTCCTCTTCCTCTTCCTCCTCCTCAAGGTCCAGTACCAACACCCTCCGCTGAGCCCCAAACACCGCAGCCAAGCCACGAGCAGCTGGAGGGGCGGAGCAGGGGGGAAATGGGGTGGGGGGCGGGACAGCAAGGAGCACATTTATGAGTCGACTCAAACCTCCTCCTCACGAGCAGCTGCAGGGGGGGGTGGGGGGGGAGGACAGAGGGGAGGCGGGGTGAGACAGCAACAAAACAACAAACGGGTTAGGAGAAGAAAATGATCAAGATGAAGCGTGGAGAAAGCGAGGAAGGGGAGGAAGCAAGAAAAATGAAGGGGGTACGAGGTTGGGCAGAAGCAGCACACAGCGGAAAGGGGCAAAGTCGTGGAAGGCTTGGAAGAAACGTTCAAGCACAGGGGACAAGTGAGGGTACATGGCAACCAGGGGAATTTTGAGGTGCCTAAAGAAACGTTCAAGCACAGGGGACAAGTGAGGGTACATGGCAACCAGGGGAATTTTGAGGTGCCTAAAGAAACGTTCAAGCGCAGGGGACAAGTGAGGGTACATGGCAACCAGGGGAATTTTGAGGTGCCTAAAGAAACGTTCAAGCGCAGGGGACAAGTGAGGGTACATGGCAACCAGGGGAATTTTGAGGTGCCTAAAGAAACGTTCAAGCGCAGGGGACAAGTGAGGGTACATGGCAACCAGGGGAATTTTGAGGTGCCTAAAGAAACGTTCAAGCGCAGGGGACAAGTGAGGGTACATGGCAACCAGGGGAAAGCAGGTGAGAGGGCCAGAGGTAGCAGCAAGCAGGGTCAGGGGACCGTTGAGACACCCCAGGAGGTTAAAGGCTCACAGCTAGCAGCGAGCGGCATGAGAGGCCGGGCGAAGGTGAGAGGGCGTTGCCTGAGGCCCTCCGAGGGCAGGGGCTGAGAGGGCGGTAGATGCTGCGCAGAGGATTGGAGAAGGGAGGAGGGGTTCGAGAAAGGGGAGAAGCGGAATGAGAGCGGGGGGTGATGTGATTTTTGAGGCGCCTCAAGAAGGTGAAAGGGCGTTGCCCGAGGCCATCTGAAGGCGGTAGATGCTGCTCAAGGAGGGGAGAGGGAAGGGAGGGGAATGGGAGAGAGGGGCGATAAGGGAGGTGAGGTAAGGGAGGGTGATGTTCAGTTACTGGCACTCGCACTCATGTGCACACACACAGGCACCTATGCACGCAAACACAAGCAAGCACACATCTGTACCTGCAGGAGTGTGTCTCCGTGGCCCAGCTGGATCCCTGTGAAGATTAGTCCCTCCATCGGACACACCACCAGCCTCCCCTGCTGCTGCTGCTGCTGCTCCCCGGCTTGCTGCTGCATGGCCCCTGCTGCTGCGCTGCCTGCTTTAGTGGCAGCGGCAGCGGTGAGCAGCAGCGCAATGTGGTGGTCCTGTGGTTTAGGAATATACACACAGAAGCGGAACTCAGAAGTTGAAGGAGCAGCAGGAGCAGAAGGAGCAGCAGTGAGCAGCAGTGAGCAGCAGGAGCAGCAGGAGCAGAAGGAGCAGCAGTGAGCAGCAGTGAGCAGCAGTGCAATGAGGTGTTGCAGTGGAAGGAGGCAGGCAGATATGCCTGCATGCATGCATGGGTCTATGGTACCTTATACATTGCAATGTCTGTCACCACCATGCCATGCCCCACATCCACCACTGCTGCCTCCACCATCCCTGCCGCTCCTGCCACTGCTGTTGCTCCTGTGCCTGGTTTGATTGCTGCTGCTGCTGCTGCACGGGAAGTTGCAGGAAGTTTTGCAGAGGACAAAGGTATTCGCAGCACCAACACTTGGCTGCTGCTGCTGCTGCTGCTGCTGCTACCAGGGGTGGACGACAGGAGGAGGGGAAGCGCAACGACGCACTTGGAGAGTGGTGGGAGGCGGTGGTGAGGGGTGATGGTGGCTTTACCAGAGTTGAGCAGCGAGGAAGGCTGCAGTGGGGAGAGCAAGGGAGGAATAGAAAGGTGGGTGAGTAGAAAGCTGGCTGGGTAGAAAATGGGTAAAAGTCGACTCAAATGTTGACATGCATAAAAGGGCTGGCAGGGGTTGGAAAAGAAGCATAGAGATTTCGACTTGAAGCTCTCAAGATTAGAAAAAAAGAGAAAAGGTTTCATGAGCACCAAATCCTTCCCCATGAAGGTTGTCATGAGCACCAAATCCTTCCCCACTACAATAAGGTTGTCTGGCATGTGAGAGTGGGTCAAGACAAGAGTGATTCAAGAAAATAGTGGAAGCAATAGGAGTGAAAGCGGAGTATTCAGACAGGTGTGTGAGAGGTGAAAGGACGGAAACAAGTGGAGGGAAATCGGTAGTAAGGGGAATGAGTGGAGGAGAGAGCACGTGGGAGGAGGAAGATGGTAGGCAAAGATGAGCAAAGAGAAAAGCATTATGCCGTTTAGATGAAAATAGATTCCAGATGATCATTGAGGTTACTTGGGGGCAGCAGATGCTGATAGGCGCCCGAACAGGCATGGCGGCTGTTGCTGCTGCTGCTGTTGCTGCTGCTGCTGTTGCTGCTGCTGCTGCTGTTGCTGCTGCATCTTTAGCTTGTGCTTGAGCAGGTGCTCTCTGCTGGGCGGCAATCTGTTGGGTGGCGATCATTTGGCTCGAAGTCAGAAGATGTGTGGTCGGCACAGCAGGCAGAGGCAGAGGCGGCAGGGCGAGCACGGCACGAGCAGTGAAGCTGGCTGTCGTGGCTAATAGCACCGCTTCACAACTGGAAAGGGGGCAGAGAAGGGCGAAAGGGGAAGTGGTGAAGGCAGAGAAAGAAGAGGCGGCATATGAAAGAGCTGTTCTCGGTCACAGATGGTGTGGAATTGGCTGTGATAGAGAAAAGATGTAAACGAGAGACGAGAGACAAGAGTGCGAGCGAAGTACGTGCGATTTCATATAGTGGACACTCAGGCGATTGAGCTGGTTCTCTTCTAAAAGAAACGTTTGTGGTGGTAGTTATCAAATGACATTGTAAGGCTCACCTGTCTCGCACTAGATCCAGCTGCTGCCGGAGAGTGTTGCCTCCCTGGGGATGCACGGCTGCTGGGTTGGTGATTCCAGCTAGGTCGCAGACGACTTCTCTTAGCAGCACGTCTGGGTATAGGAACAATACAAAACACAGGAAGTAGAAAGGTTGGCGTGTTAGTGAAGAGCAAGGGGTGGGAGAGGATGTGAGACGTGAAGAGGTACACACACCACAGTACACCACCATCGCCATCACAAATACCCCCATCATACCCATCGTCACTCATCCCCATCACCACCATCATACACACCCCCGTTGCCGCCTTCACCACATACCCCCTTCACCACACACCCCCTTCACCACATACCCCCATCCTCGTGCGTGCCACTCGTGATGCCAGCGAACATGGGTGGAGGTGGCACCCTGGCGCCTGGGGAGGTGTCATCTGGGGCAGGTGGGTCCAGGTGTGCCTTGATGGGGTCGCGGTCAAAGTGCTGGTGGAGAAAATCCGCCACCACTGCCCTGCTCTGCGGTTAAGGGGGGAACGAAGGGGAGACGAGGAGGGTAGAGCAGGTGACTTTTGCGGGAGGTGTGTCCGGTGGACAGGTGGGCAGGTCGGCGCAGGTGGGGAGGTGCGTCCAGGTGCGCCTTAATAGGGTCGCGGTCGAAATGGTGGTGGAGAAAATCCGCCACCACTGCCCTGCTCTGCGGGAGAGGGGTGAGCAGAGGAGGGAGAAGGAGGGGGAAAGGACTTGTGAGTTGGGAGGTGGAGCCAGGTGCGCCTAGATGGGGTCGCAGTCGAAGTGCTGGTGGAGAAAATCTGCCACCACTACCCTGCTCTGTGGGAGAGGGGGGGAGAAAGAGGAGAAAGCAAAACAGGTGGCATTTGGGGGAGGTGGATCCAGGCGGCAGGTGTGTGCAGGTGCGCCTTAGTGGGGTCGCAGTCGCAGTGGTGGTGCAGAAAGTCCGCCACCACTGCCCTGCTCTGCGGGAGAGGCAGGAAAGGAGAAGGAGAGAGGAGTGTAGAGCAGGTGGCGTCTGGGGGAGGTAGGTCAAGGTGAGCAGGTGGGCAGGTGGGCGGTCGAAGTGGTGGTGCAGAAAGTCCGCTACCACTGCCCTGCTCCGCTGGAGAGGGGGTGCAGATCGGGAGAGAGGGAGGAGAGGACTTCTGAGTTGACTCAAAAGTCCGCCAACACTGCCCTGCTCTGCGGGGGAGGGGGGGCAGATGGGGAGAGGAGGAGGAGGAGCGTAGAGCACTTCTCGTCAATTAGTGACTTCCGGAATTTCAGCCACTAATACTCTCTGCTGCATGAGATGAGCCTGGCTGCTGCTGCTGCTGCTGCTGCTGCTGCCACCGGCAGCATTCCAGACCTCATGCCCTCATCCTCGTTTCCCGCTTGGATGCAGTGCCGTACAGAAACCACACAGAGATGTCTTCTAAACGGAGTGCCCCTTAGTGCCCCCGAGTGCTGAACGCCCCTTAGATGCCCCCGAGTGCTGAACGCCCCTTAGATGCCCCCAAGTGCTGAACGCCCCTTAGATGCCCCCAAGTGCTGAACGCCCCTTGGATGCCCCCAAGTGCTGAACGCCCTAAGTGTCACCAAGCGCCACTAAGCACCACCACTTATGTGCCACTCTACCTGCACCACTCACGTGTTGACCAGCAGCGCCTGGCTGCTGGCAGCGTTGCCGCCCGGCCTGACGTCCTCGTCCTCATCCTCGTTCGCCGCCCGGATGCAGCGCAGCAGCCACACAAAGAAGGCGGCAAACTGCGGCAGCACCACCGCCAGCAGCCGCACCACACGCTCGCTCCACACCATCGCCACCTTCACCTCCTCCATCGCCTCCTGTAACAACCCATCTGCACCCACACCAGCGCTGCCACCTGCACTGCCACTAGCACCACCACCACCAGCACCCTCACCACCACCACTTGCACCTTTACTAACACCTGCGCCACCAGCATCGGCAGCATTGCCCATGCACTGTTTAAGTCCCAGGGCCTCAAACGGGCCAACTGTCCCTGGAGAACCGGCAGTGGAATCTTTAGCAGCAGCAGCAGCAGCTGTAGCAGCAGCAGCTGTAGCGGCGAGAGATTGCAGAGAGGAGAGGCGGAACAGGGTTTCTTCCAAAGCGGGCATAAGGTGCAGCGTGAGCAGACCATGCAGCGCGTTCCCTGCTGTCTCTATCGTTCTCGCCAGGCGCTTCACTCCCTGGTGGATGGGGGGAACATGGGAGGGAGTGCAGGGAGGAGAGGCGGAGGAGGGTCTCCTCCAGAGCGGGCATGAGGAGCAGAGTGAGCAGAGCATGCAGTGCGTTCCCTGCCGTTTCTATTGTCCGCGCCAGCCGCTTCACTCCCTGAGGGTGGGCAGGTAAATATGAGGGTTGAATGTGTGAGGGGCAGGTGACAGTTGGCAGAGTAGCCAGGCAATACTGGTGCAGTGCAGCGTGAGCAGAGAGTGCAGCGTGAGCAGAGAGTGCAGCGTGAGCAGAGAGTGCAGCGTGAGCAGAGAGTGCAGCGTGAGCAGAGAGTGCAGCGTGAGCAGAGAGTGCAGCGTGAGCAGAGAGTGCAGCGTGAGCAGAGAGTGCAGCGTGAGCAGAGAGTGCAGCGTGAGCAGAGAGTGCAGCGTGAGCAGAGAGTGCAGCGTGAGCAGAGAGTGCAGCGTGAGCAGAGAGTGCAGCGTGAGCAGAGAGTACAGCGTGAGCAGAGAGTGCAGCGTGAGCAGAGAGTGCAGCGTGAGCAGAGAGTGCAGCGTGAGCAGAGAGTGCAGCGTGAGCAGAGAGTGCAGCGTGAGCAGAGAGTGCAGCGTGAGCAGAGAGTACAGCGTGAGCAGAGAGTGCAGCGTGAGCAGAGAGTGCAGCGTGAGCAGAGAGTGCAGCGTGAGCAGAGAGTACAGCGCGTCGTCTCTATCTTTCGCGCCAGCAGCTTCACTCCCTGGGGTTGCAGAGAAAAGAGGGGAGGGGCCCGTGAAGGAGTAGCCAAAGAGGATGGCGGTGGGGGGGGGAATAGGGAGGAGGGGTTGGTCGGGGAGAAGGGTGGCAAAATCGTGACTAATGGTGCAGTGAGCAGAGCATGCAATCCGTGGCACTGGCATGAATAAGCCGAGGCGCACCAACAGCGAAATCTCCAGCATAGCCCTCCCTGTGCATCACATCACCAGCACACAAACACACAACTGCAAACGAATCCCACCACCAACATCAAGGCCCTGCCTGCCTGGAATGGCATTGCTGGTTCCAGTCAAGCAAACGCACAACTCCAGACCAATTTCAAGACCAACATCAAGGCCCTGCCTGCCTGGAATGGCATTGCTGGTTCCAGTGAAGCAAACGCACAACTCCAGACCAATTTCAAGACCAACATCAAGGCCCTGCCTGCCTGGAATGGCATTGCTGGTTCCAGTGAAGAAAACGCACAACTCCAGACCAATTTCAAGACCAACATCAAGGCCCTGCCTGCCTGGAATGGCATTGCTGGTTCCAGTGAAGCAAACGCACAACTCCAGACCAATTTCAAGACCAACATCAAGGCCCTGCCTGCCTGGAATGGCATTGCTGGTTCCAGTGAAGCAAGCGCACAACTCCAGACCAATTTCAAGACCAACATCAAGGCCCTGCCTGCCTGGAATGGCATTGCTGGTTCCAGTGAAGCAAACGCACAACTCCAGACCAATTTCAAGACCAACATCAAGGCCCTGCCTGCCTGGAATGGCATTGCTGGTTCCAGTGAAGCAAACGCACAACTCCAGACCAATTTCAAGACCAACATCAAGGCCCTGCCTGCCTGGAATGGCATTGCTGGTTCCAGTGAAGCAAACGCACAACTCCAGACCAATTTCAAGACCAACATCAAGGCCCTGCCTGTCCTCCTTACCGCTTCGCCTGCGAGAGTATCTGTGAAGAAGCTGTTCAAATCCGTGCTGGCAGCTCCTGTTGCCAGCATGTACAGGAGCTCTGATCGAGGGTCCGAGGGGCAGTCTGAGACATGATCAGAGCACGGGGCAGGCAGGGGCATTGCAAAGGCACACTTTTGAGTGGTGGCACAACTCGACCCAGCAGCCCCTGTTGCCACCATGTGCAGGAGCTCTGAGCGAGGGTCTGAGGGGCAGTCTGAGACATGATCGGAGCTCGGAGCAGGCAGGGGCATTGCAAGGGCATGGTATTGAGTGGTAGAAAAACTCTCAACTCGCAGGTCGTAAAAGGGCAAGAGGGTAGGGCAGTCACCAGCCCCCACCAATCACCTCTCGCCAGCCCACCAATCACCTGCCGCCAGCTCACCGTTCTCCTCCAGCAGTCGCTGCAGCCCCTGCACCTTCTCCCGCCACTGACAGCTGGCGGCCTCCCATAGGCCGTGCATGGCGGCAGCAGTGGCTGACACGGACTCCATGAGCCCTGTGAGCGCCGCCCCTTGGGTCGCCATTGCCAGCACCTCCCAGAGGCTGCAAAGAGGAGAGTGGGAGAATATGGAAAGGAAAGTCAGGGATGGGGATAATACTGCAAGCACCTCCCTTCCACCTGCAGTCCTCGTACGCACAGCACCTCCCCATCCCTGATTCGCAAAGCACACCCACCCACCTGTCTCTCATCTGAGTCACGTTTGAGAATTCTCAAAAGCTGCTGCCAACCAACACACAGCCACCCTGCCTCCAATGCCTATTATACTGGAACGACTTTTGGGATTTCTCACGATTTATTCCACTACCTCAAAAGTAATTCCACCTGTGTCTCATCATGGCCGTGTCAAACAGTGCTAGCTCACAGCCAGCTTCGTCCTGCTCCTGCTTTCCCTGCCGCCCTTGCTTCCCATCCCGGTTGCTGCTGCTGGCACTGACGACGATAAGGTGGGCGAAATCAGGTGTCAGCACCGCCTGTTGGGTTGGGGGCACGTGGGGGGAACGTGGGGGGCACATGGGGGTTGAAAAGAGTTTGCTGCTGCTGCTGCTGCTGGAAGTGACAACGATAAGGTGGGCGAAATCAGGTGTCAGCACCGCCTGTTGGGGGCACATGGGGGGGGGTAAGAAAACATATTTTGAGGTGCCACAACAGTTGCTGCTGCTGCTGGGAGTGAAGACAATAAAGTGGGCGAGATCAGGAGTCAGCAACGCCTGTTGGGAGTACGTGGGGGGGGAATACAACAGCGCTTTGCGGTGTTTTTTTTTAAAGCGCCTACAGTGTGTGGAAGTGTGAAAATGGGCCTGATTTCATCCAGCCTGGCGTGTAATCGATGGCGTGGAAATGAACAATAGCATGCATAGATAGAAACGCACGCAGGACACAATGTACTCGACTCGACCTTTGTCTCTCACTGCCTAGGCAATTTGACATAGCGTGGCATGCGTCTCGCTCATCTTCACGTGTCGATAAGAACGGGTTCGATCGCTGCTAGCTGCTATGACTCTGTCTGGTCTCTTCTCGCTCACCTTCACAGGGGTTCCACTTGCACGCCCGCTGTGCCCGTTGCTCGTAGGGCCTGAAGCTGGCACCCGGCTTGTGATGTCCTGACAGGCGGGCGAGGGAGGAAGAAGGAGAGAGAGGAGTGAGGAGAGAGGCGAGAGGAGATAAGAGGCAACTTTTGAGGCGCCTCAAAAGTCGCCCACTGTGCCCGTTGCTCGCGGGGCATGAAGCTGGCGCCCGGCTTGTGATGTCCTGACAGGCGGGCGAGGGAGGAGAGGCCAGAAAGGGGAGAGAGGCAAGGGGACGAGGTGGGGAATGCGGGCAGGCGAGAAGAGGGAGGCAGGAAGGCGAGATATGGGAGAGGAGCAGGCAGGCGGGCGAGCGAGGAGAGACGATATGAAGGCCGCCTGCCTCTCCTGTGGGGAGGTGCGCTCCTAGTGCGGTGTGCTGCAGTGCGGTGTGGTGCAGTGTGGTGTGGTGTGGTGCGGTGTGGTGTGGTGTGGTGTGGTGTGGTGCATGACCTGTGACCCCCGTGCCCACATATTCATACATAAACGTTTTTCCACACATCGGATGCACTAATAGCATTCAGCAGATTGGTCACAGGACAGATTCATCAGATTCATCAGATTCATCTGTCGAATTGCCAACACTGCAAGTCACGGGACAAGTCACAGGCTACAGCCAGCAAGTGAGGGCAAGTGAGGGCTTACCAGCTTGATAAGAGGGAAGATGCCAAACGCGCTCACCACCACACACCCCACCACATCCACACTCACTAACACACACAGCATACTCCTCCCCTCCTCACCTCCCTCTCCCTCACCCCCTCCCCCTCCCCCTCCCCCTCCCCCTCCCCCTCCACCCCCTTCCTCTCCCCCTCCTGTTCTCCCCTTGCCAGCTGGCATGTGCATCCACCACCGCTCATCCTCAGGCGCGCGGGCCCCGTCCACGTCAGCAGCTGAGTCAGCAACCGCGGCTCCAGAGAGGGAGGCGGAGGAGGGGAGGGAAGAGGCGGGTGGGGCCCGGGGGAGGTAGATGTGAGTGCGGTCGTGGTAGGGGCCGTGGGGAAAAGGTGGGGAGGGGGCAGAGGGAGGGAGCGGGCCGGCAGGGGAGGAGGAGAGGGGGGAGAGGGAGGGGAGGTTGGCGAGGAGGGAGGATGGGGAGAGAGGAGGGGAGGTACCGGTGGTGGGGATGGTGCTAGTATTGGTGGTAGTAGTGGTGGAGGAGGGGGAGAGGTGTAGGGAGGACCAAGAGAGGGCGGAGAGAGGGGCGGAGTGGAAGGAGGAGACCTGGTGAATGATGTCTCCGCCCTGCAGGGGGAAGGGTGAAGAACGGGAGGGGAAAGAAAGAGGGGTTGGGGGAATTGGGGAGAGGGAGGGACGGAGGAAGGGGGCGGAGTGGAAGGAGGAGACCTGGTGGATGACGTCTCCGCCCAGCAGGGGGAAGGGGGGAGAGGGGAAGGCAGGGATGGGGGGAGGCAGGGACGAGGGGAGGCAGGGATGGGGGGAGACAGGGACGAGGGGAGGCAGGGATGGGGGGAGACAGGCGACTACTCAAACCTTCTACATACGTGCCTTTTTAATGAAGCGCTAAAAAAACATAAAAAAACATGAGCTAGTACTGCACTACACCACCTCGTTCAGAGGCCTTTGATTGCTACTGATTGCTGCTCACAACCCGATCCACTCCGATCTCTTGGAGAGAGAGAGAGAAAAAAAAATCAAAACAAAAAAAAGCATGGCGGTACACGATGCACATGCACAAGGCCTGACCTCCACGTGGCGGTACACGATGCTGCCATCTGTATGCCCTGTCAGAATGGCCCGCCCATCTGGCCGCCACGTCAGCGCAGTCACAGGCACCTCTGGTGGGAAGGAGGAGGGGAAGAGAGCAGCAAATGAGGGTTACACAGTAACAGTACGTGGGGGCAAAGGTTGCATTGAAATGGAAAGGAGGCGGAAGGGGGTTTAGTTAGGGAATGGACAAGGGCAAGGGCAAGGGCAACGAGACTTGAAGAAGCATCAACATGAAGATTCATGCTTCGACCTACCAAATTCACCCACCAAAACACCAGTTCCAGCAAATTTCACCAGGTTTATCAATTCCATTCCCAGATTACCCAAGTTGGCAGAAAAAACAAAAAAAAACAGGTCATGTACCAGATATGGCGGCCCAGAGGCGCTGCCAGTTGAGGCGGAAGACTAGCAGATGCTGATCGCGACACACGAGGGCCAGCAGGTCCTTGTCGCCACTCCACTCCGCCAAACATGCCTGAGATTGAAAGGCAAGGAGAGAACTGATTTTGAAGGACACGAAGAAGCAAGGAGACAGTAGAGTGCTCTTTCAGATGCCTAGGTAAGGCGACACACACGAGGGCCAGCAGGTCCTTGTCGCCACTCCACTCCGCCAAACATGCCTGCGATTGAGGGTAAGGGCAGACGGAAAAGCAAGGAGACAGAAGAGTGTTCTTTCAGATGCCTAGGTGATGCGACACACACGAGGGCCAGCAGGCCCTTTCGCCACTCCACTCCGCTAGACACGCCTGCGATTGAAGGGGGAAGGGAAGACGCCAAAGTGACAAGATGTGCGCATCAACCGCCGAGGTAACGCTGCAGGGCACACGAGAGCAGGTCCCTGTCGCCGCTCCCCTCTGCTAGACACGCCTGAGATTGAGAGGAACGGCAGACGAAGGAGCAAGCAGACAGTAGGTCCTGTGAGGCGAGCGACTGACCTGCGAGGCAAGAGACTTCTCCTGAACGACAGTGAAGCTGGCAGGCATGGGTGCAGGTGTTGTTAGTGTTCGCCGGCAGCTGCAGCTGGTTAAAGCCGGATCGTGATTTGAGGCGGCTCATAAACAAACTGCCCGCAGGAGTTATCAGTGAGGATTTGCTGTCAACTGCAGGTGGTTAAATGCTGGTCCGTATAATTGCACACCGTGGTGCGCACTGCAGCCTGCATTCTCCTTAGCCTGTGTTGCAAGTACAGCGAATCTGCTAGGACGGAGCATGCAACGAGTTGACGCGGAGCGGAGCTGCCAGAGGTATTTTAGTAGAAACAGACTAGACTTACTCAGGGTTCACTGAGATAATGGATTCCGTGTCCTGCGTCCCTGTCAACGATTTGTTCACTTTGTCCGAATGCGGGTCGATGCGTTTCTCTACGATTTAAAGTGGTCCAATCAGCACTTACAACGGTTGGGTTAGGGCGACGTTGAGGTGACGATCATGATTCGGAATGCCTCTTCGCTGTAAAATTCGCTTCTGGTTGGAGTTGTTAAAGCCGGCGGCCCAAATTGTTCATGCTTTTAAAAGTTGACCAGAGGGAGTTTTTCTGGTGTGGGCTTTGGCGAGAGTTTCCGATTTCGTCTAGGTTCGTTTTTTTCGCGAGACCCAGCCAACCCTCGGTTTTCCCCCTGGTGAGTGAATCTGTCTTCGAAAGTCCCAAATTGCAAGTGCGTGACTTTCAAAAGCTTGGACACTCAACTTCGTCAAGTTTTAAAAACTTGACCCTCGCGGCCCGCAATTTGGGACGCGGGCTTTAAATGGAAAAGAGAAAGCGGACAGAATTACTGACAAGTATTTGTCTACATTATATTTATGAGCAGGTAGAAGAACATGACTGACGGTTTCATTTTAAGAAAATAAAAAAGTCATGCGATATTATTTTGGATAAACACATACGCATATATGAATATTTTCGCTAGGCAAGCTGGCGGGGAAAATAAGTGAATCATAGTGTATACGGATGTTTGTTACGCATTTGCGCCTTATACAACTGCGCCGCAACTGTATCGGTTCGCAAATCTTTTTGCGCGCCCTGGATGACACCACGCCACCAAACTGAACTCCTGACCCTTGCTGCCACGTCGATAACCTTTGAAAATATACTTGGCGCGAAAAGTACCAATATATCCAATGACAGAAGCTACGCACCGTCGATCTCTATGACATGCACCATGCCATGCATTGATCCAACGAATAAAACTCGTCAGCTGACGTCCTTCCCTCGTGCGGCACGGATCTACCTCGATTGTTCCGCGCCCATCTATGTCCGGCGGAAGGCGGAAGAATCCTTCTCTTGTGCGCTGTTCTGGCGTGGTGCGTGCGTGATGGTTCCAGCGCAACTGTCAGCGAGCTAGCAAGCGCGGAAGCATTTTCTCCTGCCTGACAATCACGAGGGTTTGGTTTCGGTTTGGTCTGGCAGCACAACCAAACGACCAAACAAGGCAACCATATTCCACCAACAGTCTGTCTCACTCGGTATTTGTCATTCATTGGGCGTTCGCTTGTGGTCACTTCGTCCATTCCTAGCTACCTCTCTTCCCTAACCTCTACCCATTTTCCGCGTTTCCTTCCTGGGCCTTGGATCTGTATTTTTTCCCGCCTTTCCCGCCTTCCCACATGGGAACATTTTGTGTGATCATTTATTTCTAAGGTACCGGTAGCTGATAGCATGTAGCATGTACTGAGACAGGATCAGCCTTTTATATCACTAGCTCGATTATCCTTAGTCTTAGCAATAATGGCGGTAAGCTTCTCGTCGTTTACCTCTCAGATTTGTAGAGTTAGGCCTAATTCAGAGGCTCAATTGGCCTCCGCTGGCATTCTTGGCCCCCGCAATGGTGCCGAGTGTTCCGGGTCTTCGCGGTTATCCGCGGTTAGTCTAGGCTCAAGTGAAAGATCGAGCCTCGCGGTTTCAGCATCATTTGGAGGCGCGTCTCGATCGCCATTGCGCGCCGATGACGGCCACGATACTTTTACCGGCTTGCCGGTTCACACCGGCGTCGTCCACAGAACGGGACGGTTGCGACGCTTCGGAGAGAAGCTCAAACAACGACGGCGAATGGTTTGTCACGCTGAGAGCTTAAACGGCAGCAGTAGCAACAACGGCAGGATAGGCAGCCTAGTAATCCCCGCAGCTCCACCCTTCGGTTCCATGGGTGGGGAGTCAGATCGGGACGCTAAACTTGCGCAACTCAACAGGGTGAACACTGGAAATGAGTCCGTGGCACGGCGGGCAGAAGCGGAAGATACGGCGAGTGTTGGCGCCGTGTCGGGGTTGCTCCAGCAGCAGCAGTCTCCGCCGGTCCTCGAGGTGGTCC